CATCTTATCTTTATCGTGTAAATTATATTCAGATACAATTTAATAATGAAGTAAAATAATAAATATTCCTAGTAGAATCTTTGTAAGTCGAACTTCAAATAATTCGAGTTATAGAGTTTAAGACTTACGGAGGCATTCGACTAAGGTGGATTTTGTAAGTGGAAACGGGGAAACGTTTATTAAAAAATAATCCAAATGTTCTTGAATCTTTTTGTGACGCAGAGTCGGCAGATTATCCATGTTGCAAAATAATACCGTGTGTAGCAGTCTTAAAAAAACAACACGTACAACCATGCTTTCACGTTAGTCACTGCCGGCGGACAGCGACACACTAGCTAATTGGTTCAGCGTACCCCCGCCCAGCGTTCCTCAAATCAACCAAGGCCAAGCTTACGGCGGTTTGACTATAACCTGTCTATTTACTGTGTGTTTGGAAATAATAATAACAATTATTAGCAAACACGCATTGCTTGCACATCACAATATAAATATAAGAAAATTCCAAAAAAATACAAAATTTCAAAATTATCCGTCTCAAATGTATATTTTTATATAGATGGGAGAGGCCTATATTCAGCAGTGGACTGCGATAGGCTGATGATGATGATTATGATATATATATTAGGTAAAGTTGGTTTGTGTACTTGTGGTTGGTGCAAAGGCTTTGGGGATAACGCATTATATGCAAAAATCTAATGTTTGTGAAAGTTTATCAATTTTTCATTAAAGTTGTTACGTGTAAGAACTGGTGAAAACAGAAATAGATTCTGTTTTTCAGTAGTTCTTACCCGTGGATTCAGTTTGTAGATTATATATAGATTTTGTCGTTGATGATATAGGTATCTCTTAGGAACATTATTATTTTCTGAATCAAAACTAACATGCATTTGCATTGACCTGACTTGACCTGATTAAAATTGTCTACAAAAAAAACATTTCTGAAATTGCAACCGTAATGCCAATTCCCTGCAAATCATTTATTAAATATCTTCTGTAGTAACAACACACGACATTCGAATAGTAATCAGGCGATGTGTATATGCGTTCTTTTTCTGCGGAGCCCGCTACGCGTTATACGAACTGCGTAGTTCTTAGTGACTACGGCTGTCGCATCGCTCCCTATTGCGTAATTCCGTGACAACATAAAGAAGCATTACTTTAATACAGATATTGTTAAACGCGGTTGTTTGCCTGAGTAGCAATACAAATTGACGATTAGAAGTGCTTCATTTAAATATGAAGGATGTATTCATATCGTGAAAATTCTGGCTTTATGAGTATGTTACCTTGACTTGTTCTTTGGGTTTGTCTATGGTTTTGTATTGACATGCATAAAAGTACGTAATGTCTACTTGGATGCGTAATTTAAAGATAGAAAGACTCATACTTTACCTACGTAAGAAGTATTTTACTCGTATTTTTTTTTGATATCACAAGGCCTAGATTTGCGAACTTATGTATACACGTCAAAATCTCCGAAGAAAGGCCGTGAGGCTTTAAAGCAGTTTCGCCACATTTAAACTTCTAATCTGTACAACTGTTTTTTTTAATTCAAATCTAAAAGTAGAAGATTTTTAGAGTCTTCATTGTTTTCCGAAGCCGTCTAAGACGTTTTTTTTTTATTCTGCCACTGTATGATCAATTCGCCATATAATAGCAGTGACATTTAAAAAAGATAAATTAAAACTAATATGTTTTATGAATCGAAAAGTTGATAACATATTAGTACCATTCCTTGTTTACGTTTACCTAATCGCGTTCTCCAATCTAGCACGTGTCAGCAACCATAAGTATAAAATGCTTTTTAAACTAGTAAAGGTGTGCATGTACAAACAAATACAATTTACCATAATAGCAATTAGCTTGAGTCATTTTCAGAGGTATGTCATTTAGTTAATGAAATTATAAACAACATACATATATAACAACATACAATTAAACATATGAGAATCAATTTTAATACACCTACACAGTAGTACTTTCAGGTCTATGCGTTAACACAATTATTTTCAAATACTAATAATGTCTGTAACGCATTATCAGCATGGCCTTCTGTCTATAGATGACACAGTGTAATTACTAAAACTCGTAGAAAATTTAAATAACGATATTTCTATTTTATATACACACATATTTTAATAGTTAAATACAGGTAGTTGTGAAACGCGAGCTGAATATTAAGATCCTTTTATATATACAAATGTTATTTTCTTTTGCAAAGTAATGGCGGCAATACGTCTAGAAACCATATTATATTTAGTAACGTAGTTAAAACCTTCAATCAAACCGTTTGGAAAATCTTGCGTTTATGGGTGGCCATAGTCACTCACCATCAAGTTAGGGGTTTGGTGTTGCAACCAATACCATGTGACATTTAACGTTTAATTAATGTAACAACGATTGTTTTATAAACGTATAACTAAATAAAGATAATTTAAAGTATTTTTACAATAATATTATGACACGTAGTCGTGAACATGTATCGAAACACTGTCTGATTCCGACTTATAAGGATATTCAAACACACGTAGTTTACTGACTCATATTATAAATGCGAATGTAAATTTGTTTGCTACCTTTTAACCCCTCGACTGCTATACATTGTCGATCGTCACGATATTATGTGAAATTACACAATGATTATTATCATAAACTTGCCAGAGTTTCAATGGACAATAATATTTCATAGAATTTTGACATATATCCTTCTTTTTTATGGTATTGGGGATGAACTTCCTTAACAATAGTTTTTTTTTGAGGCTATGGTATTACTGCAGCAGTTCATGCATTTTTTTTTTAAATAAGAAAAAGAGTATAAAATAAAAACATGAAACACCCATAAAACACTTATTACACTTATCTTGGGTGTGAGTGTACATTCCTCATTACTTTCTGTTTCGTTTATATACTACATACATACGTATCTACTATATTCAAGATAATAACAAGAACTTTTATAGGAATTCGCTAGTGGCATTACAATAAATAATAGGTGCAGGGTAGGTAGGCGTACAAATCTTTCAAGCGTTACCGGTAGGGTTGTTTACGTTCGATAAAAGTAGATGAGTTCGCTTAGAGTCCATATAGTGCCGAAGTATGGCTGTCCTAAGGGATTTTTTTTGACAAATCTACATTAACTGACGGGCCTGTTGGTCTAGTGGTTAGTGACCCTGACTGCTAAACCAGAGGTCGTGGGTTCGATTCCCACCCAGGACAAATAATTGTTTGATGAGCACGATGATTTGCTCTGTGTCTGGGTATAATTTATTCATAATATGTATGTATTTAGAAATATATAAGTGTGTTTATCAGCAGTATGGTTACCATAGTACAGGCTCTGCCTAATTTGGAATCAGACGGCAGTGTGTGTGAGACGTGTGAAGTTATTATTATTATTATTAACTGTTGAGATTGGTCTGAACATATTGCTATGATTCCCAACAATAACGATTGCAAGATCTGCAGTTTTGCGCCCTCTAAGCACGAGATCGGTTTAACTACGAGTATTTTCGTAGTAGAAATATAATCTTATATATAAAATTCTCGTGTCACAATGTTCGTTCCCGTACTCCTCCGAAACGGCTTGACAGATTCTCATGAAATTTTGTGTGCACATCGGGTAGGTCTGAGAATCGGCCAACATCTATTTTTCATACCCATAAATGGTAAGGGTGACCCGTCCCTAATTTTTTTTTGTTTTGCAATACAACGTTTGCCGGGTCAGCTAGTAATATAATAAGAATAATTTGACACACTGTGCACACAGTCTGATCCTTAACTGATTTATCTGTCTGATTCCCAACTAGGCGGAGCCTGTATTGTGGTAACCGGATTACTGATATTATATAATAATAATAATATATAATATAATTATAGTCCATTTGAGTTAAAAAAATCCTTATAAGTTACTCATCGAGGGTAAAGGTGTATTCAGGGTGGAGTAAACAATTCACATTTGTACAACAATTTATATTTTATATATATTTATGTTTATTTACTTGAACATAAAAGTTCTTATTAAATAAAACAAAGGTATAATAATATCACCACTTGTCACCACCCCAAATCATCCCGTGGGTGTCGTAAGAGCCGACTAAGGGAGCAAACTAAACAGGACAACAGCACTGCAAAGAGAAGGAAAACTTGAAACAAACCCTATACCAACCCGTCTGGCCAGCGTGGAATAGTAGGCCAAAACCTCCTTTCTAAGGAGAGGCCTATGTCCAGCAGTGGACTAGTATAGGCTGTTGATGTGATGTGATGTTATAATAATATCTGCTGACCATCGGTGGATGTAAAAAAAAAAGAAAACAACCATAAATAAATTCCACCTAGGCATAGAACACAAATGTTTATCACACAATTATTTTTCCGGGTCGGATTGAGATCCACTCCCTCTTACTCGTAATCATCGGTTAGGTTAGTATAAAGCTAGCATGCCAGTTAAAATAGCTAGCTAGCTAGCTTCTGAGTTTTTCTGAGAATAGGATAAGAAAATATAAACACAATAATATAACGATTAAAAGTGTAAAGGTAACAATTATAACATTTGAAAGAAACTTATAATGATAAATATTCTATATGATTTTTTAGACCCCAGTAAACAACGTAGGAATCATAAGATTTTAGTCAAATCTAGATAATTAAAATTTATATATTTTCTTTTCAGATTCTACCTGTCTGTAATTACTTCGCTCGGTGTTTTTTATTCTTCTAATTTTTAAATAATCAAGTATTTGAAGATGGATTGCAAGATGATAGAAGATAATTGACCCCTGACGTTTCTACGTCATCAAACTCTTTGAAGATCTCGATACACCTGAAACTACAAGATAAAAATGAAAACATCGCATTAACAGTGATAGCGAGCTAACAAGCTCTAAAACCACATTCAGACCATCAATGCTCAATTACAGACTGGTTTCAACGCATTTTTTGAAGCAACCGTAAATTGTTTAGAGACAATCTCTCTAGAGACTTTTGTGTCGTTCCAAATAATTATGTGCCGTGATTGGGACATGCCGGTGCAAAGGAGTGACATAATTAAATAGAGATTTTTTTTGAACTTACTTAATAATTCGTCTATAATCTAGTGTCGAGCTTTTCCGTCAAAACGGCGCGCGTTCACGCTCTGCCGTTTCGTTTTATTTATTATATTTTGTTTTACATCAAAGGATAAGCAATAACCCAGTTGATTAGTGTTTGGTTATCAATTACTGGTAGGGGTTTTGCCCAGGAGCGGACCCCAAAGCGACCCTGGCCAGCCGTACCCGAGACAGCATATCCAGAATCTTGGACTCCATAGTTGACGCAGCCAGATATTGCATTGTAAGTATTGCTTTAGAAGTTCTGATTATGAAATTTAAACAACAGGGAAACAGGGTTACTATTGAAAAAGTTTTTTTAGCGATAAACAACGAAGCTTGTAAGCTTTTTACTTTAGATGCGTTCAGTTGCATTCGTTCCAAAACGTGATTTAATTTCAGAATCGTCCCATTAACGGCCGAAAACTTTTGGAAATTGGGTGATTTATTTTCCGAGTTAGCGAAAATGGTACAATTGGAAATTTTACAGGTATTTTAAATTAGATAATGGGGCTTCACATAATCATTTTAGTGTCTATACTAATAAAATAGTTTCTCGTTTTATAAATATGACAATTACAGCTTATACTAATACATGTACGCTTTTGCAATATATACGTAAATACATGAGTATATTAACTTTATTTATGATTTGTATTTGAAAATTAGAATAAGTAACCAAACTATTAGCTGCCTACAGTTCCGTTGCTTTTTCTAATGGACCTTTGTAAATTATGTAGGTAACAGAGCCGTGTCGTAGATAAACAGCGCTTTGTTAATCCATCCCCCCGATAGAAAGATTAGTAATTTATATAGCTTCTTCCAAAAGCTATTATATCTATCCACATATGTACCTACGTATATATCTTTACAATATACTGTATAATACATGATCAACACGTCTCATTCTCCTCACTATTCGATACGAATTGCATACATCAGCTTAACCCACCCACAATCTAATAATATCATTACTTTATAACACTAAAATAAACATTTATACGCACATTACACTGACATTAACTCTTCGATACTATGGTTAGGGTTACGGACAGGAAAGTGACCGATCGAGCGAACGACGGGTTGTAATATCTGGGCTCGGGTGGCGTGCGCAGTGCTCGGAGCGCGACCGAGAGCGAGAGAAGTCCACCGAAGACATGGCAGCGCCTGAGGGTGAGAGAGAGGCACGCAAGCGACGCGAGCGCCGTGACTCAGGCTGCGCGCACGAGCGCAAGGAGCGTCGCCCGCACAGCGAGGAGCGACCGCCACCGCCACCGCCTCCGCCGGCACTGCATGATCATAATCGACTTGAGGTAAGATTACAAGATAACTTGCTCGGTATCTTAAGATATCTGGCGATAATATTTTTCTTGTCTTTAGAGATTTCTTTCATTGAGATACGATATTTGTTATTGAACCGATTTATGCATAAATGGAATGATCGGTTTATATATTGTGTTACATAATAGCAAATTTTCTTGCTATAGATTTGTATTTAAACGTAATGTATCAGTATCTTGAACATAGTGACAGCATACATATTCTACAGTCGGAACGTCGTGCCGAGCGACTATCCCGCGCCCGTCGTCCTCAATTTGGCGGTAAGCGTCGCCGCCCACCACCCAGGATTCAAAAACACCCCAAAGAGAATGACTGCTTCACCACATCCGAGGAGAATCGATGCTCCACACCACCACACTTTGAATATGTCGTCGTACAGAATCCCCGCAGTAAGTAGTTTTAGCTTTATAAGGCCTTTCTTATAAAACCTTACAACACGTAGTGAAGAACATGTCATTCGAATTATATATTTTACTGGAACATATTACTCTTTTAAAGAGACTACACAGAGAGTAAGTGAGTAAGGACCACGATAAGAAAAAACTACAGTTTTAACTTATCTATCACCTGTCACGTACATATTTGCTTGTATGTATAATAAACTTACTATGCCAACAGTTACAATACGCCAGCAGACGATACACATCATGCATGGTTATTGCAGTGTGCGAGGAGTCGGAGATTTTAGACGTCGGGTCTCTTCATCGCATGGTCGGGCGCACTTCGAGCGTCAGTTCCAACGGTGAAGAAGATACACCGACATCCTTATGTGCAGCTGCCGAAAGAGCCAGGTCTGATGAACGCTACGCACCCACCGTTAAGCGACATGACCAACCATGTCCTGATCGGAAACTTGACAAGATCCAGAAAAAGGTAAATGCTTTATAATATACTTTCGGCGTCAGTCAAAACAATCTTTTGTAAATAGTGTCTTGTGTTATTTTGAGTCTTTTCAAATTCGCTTCATATTTTGCACCAAGAATGATTACATTCTCAAGGAGCATTGGCCTCATGCAGGAGGCTGACCATGAAAGAAAACGCCAAAGCCATTTTGCATTGAAATAAAAGACTGCGTGAAAGAGGATGTCGAGTGATAGAGAAGACTGGGAGAGGAGAAAACTCATTGCATCGACCCCAAATAAACTTAGGAATAGGGTAAGAAGATGATGAAATCTTACAACAGCCTCGTGTGTAGGGTGTTTTCTTCTTATTTAATTATTGAATGTTAGCCACTTTATTAAATATTTTAAGTAGCTCTTGCCCATGACTTTGTTGTCATTGAAATTGATTTACTATCCCTGGGTCTTCAAGAGGTAAGGTAACCTATCATCATCAACAGCCCATAACAGTCCACTGCTGGACATAGGCCTCTCCTAAGAAAAAAGGTTTTGGCCTACTATAACACGTTGGCCAGACGAATTGGTATAGTAGACGGTGACGGAAGGTAACCTATGGCCCCTATAAAATCGTATGTATAACGACAACATGTGTGTATTATTGATGATCGATTGCGAATGTCTGGATCATTGGTTACAATAAGATCCTGGCTGTATTATGACGATGTTTCAAAATTAAATACTTTATACTTTTTAATTGTAAAGCCAGCGATAGAAGTTATTAACAGCTTATAATTACTTACCGTTCTCATATCTAGATCACCATGCTCAAGAAAAATATTTCCAAATATGAGTCTGAATTTGAAGCCAAGCATGGTCATCCGTTGAGACCATGTGACAGGATCATAGACGTAAGCCTCACTCGCATGTATGAGAACCTGCGTCGTTATCAAGAAGAGAAGCGGAGCATTAGAACAGACCCCGTGGAATTTGCACTAAAAGCTCAAGCGATTAAACAGCAGAAAGAGAGAGATGACAAGCTTGACGCATCCTTCAGGAACTGCAAATCTATGACAGAAATCGTCACAGCCATTGAAGAAGTAAGTTTATTACTGTCAAAAAAATCCTGTATTGTTTAAATTATTTTTATGGTTAGTTTTCTTTGTGTGTGTAATCTTTGAATTTATTACAAGACCGTCATGCATTATCCTGTGCAGGCCTTTAAATCATATGCGGTTAGATCAATTTACCTCATGTCTACTGAAGTCACTTTACCCATAACAAGTACAGTAAGGTACAGCAATGGAAATCCAGACTGTTCCCCATATTGCTTTAAATACAAAAAGCTATTAAACTTGTTCTAGAGGTGCATAGATTTATATTTAGTTTTATGTGGTAACCAGATTCTCGCATTGCCTCCCCAATGGTTTTTAATAAGCGGTTCTAACAAGCTTGATCGTTATAGACGATCAGCAGTTATTGGGTTCAAAAACTTCAGTTTGAACAAAATATTGAAATAAGTTAGCTTTTCATTCCGAGTTACATATTTTCGTAGTATGCCTATTTGTAATAATATTTACAATGAACTAAAAGTTGAGTCAAAAAAGCTGTTTGTAAATTTTTTTGTCTTCCTACACAGTGGCTCGAAAGTGCTCGTCAAGCCGATGGCCGAACTGCCATCCCGGAATCCAACTGGTCATCAACTCAATTTGCCGCAGAAAAACTTGCAGTGCAAAAAGCGCTCTTGAAGCTGGAAGCGTCCCGCGGCCGTCCGCCCGCGCATTCAGAGGACCGTGGTGCGGCTCGTCATCTGTATGAACGGTATCGCGCTATGAAGAGGATACTGGCTAACTCTAGAATGGATGCGGTAAGTGTACAGAATGTTAATTAAATTGATGGACCACTAGGCACTATTTGCAACGCATAAAATAGCTTATCTAAATATTTTCTTAAATTTTATCTAGTAAGGTTCCTTTTACAACTACGGCGTATATTTTTATAAACAACTCATTTTTTAGCCTTCACAAAATGAGGACTATCTATATAACTCTGGAACCTACTGTTTTAGGCTAAAAGAAAAGCAAAAAAATTAAAGTAAAAACCTTTTTCAAAAACAAGCTTTTATTTAAATGCACTAAAAATAATAAAATAAAGTTTTCCTTTAAAACTTTTACTAAGAACTTATAAAACGTCATTACTAAATTTATATGATATAGACGCTTATCGCGAGATTTAAGTAGGTTACTCGTATCTACTTAGAAAATTTGAGAAAATTAAAAATTACCATCAGTTAGATCAAGTTATTTAATATACTTGTTTATCTACGCAGGCTATATCATATAAATTATGTAATGACGTTATGTTGTTAGTAAAAGTTTTAAAGGAAAAGTTTTTTTTAGTGTATTTAAATAAAAACTTGTTTTTAGAAAGGGTTCTTTCTTTTAATTTAACTTTTAATTTTAGTTATCGTATTTCAAAATTTCAGACGGATTTGAGCAACGGAGTTTAACTCGCATTCGTATTCTTAGCAAGTCCTTTCATTTGAAACCCATATTGTAGGAAGGCTTAAAAAACTTAGTCCATTTATAAAAGTATTTCACATTGGATTTAGAGTGAAGTTACCTTATTTTTCGAGTTATTCTCAGCAAGTCTTTTCATTTGATACCCATATTGTAGGAGTGCATTAAAAATACCTAGTGCGCCATCTTGGGTCTTCCGTTGTTGGATTTGAATGACGTCATAGTGCTAACCATGTATTGAAATCCATGTACTCGTAATTTCAGTTCAATCGGTGGAAGATACCTGCTTCAAAATTGAGTTGCAAGATTCCACCCGAACAAACATAGTTAAATACATACTATACATACATTGCAAGTTAAATAAAAGGTTTTTAAAAAAAAAATCAGTTTCTCGAATATATTTGAGTGGATTTTGTTAAATTCTGATTGTAATTTTGTGTTTTTTTTTTCAAGAAACTGATCACTAGGTTTCAGCAGCATTTTAGAAGTAAGCTTAATTAACCTAATCTAATATATTATTAGTTATTGGTGTCTATAAGCACTGGCAAAACTAGTGGAGTCAGTTATGCATTGCCGACATTATGTAGCCTTCCATAGAGTCCAGAATACCCACTTACTAGTAGGTAAAACAATACTACCACCGTATTCTGTGGTGCAGAGGTATTTCCCTAGATGACTTCGATTCGAATTTGCAGCAACACAATTTCTTATTTTGAAAATCCTTTGTTTCAGATCACAAACGGTGAGCTGGCAACCATTCACGAGCACGAGACAATGTTGTTCAACACAAGTGTCGATAGTTCCAGTGATTCGCAAGAAAAGCCTTCAGTACCTTCAGAAATTTCACAGGTAAATGAACCGTTATTATGTTACACTCATTGTCATGAGTGTAACATAACAACAACAAAAACATAATGAGGTGTCCCTCATCATCATGTTTTTTTTTTATGGAACAATGTCTGTCGTGTGTGAGATGGTGAGAAGTAATTATTATTATTACGTTTAATACAGAAAAAAAAATCACCATTCAAGAGGAATACCTAAGCGAATTTAAAGTCAAAAGCAGTTTAATATAATCATCATCATCATCATCGACAGCCTTTAATAGTCTACTGCTGGATATAGGCCTCTCCTTAGAAAGGAGGTTTTGGCATACTATATAATATAATATTCGGGGTCATTTATCATTTGACCCCGAGGTCTCGACACCCCAAGGGTGACGTCACCGAACCGAGGTGAAACAGTAACGCGGTATCTCAGACTCGAATCGACTTAAACTACAAAGTATTCCGTCATCATGGCAGACTTGATCGCTTGTTGAGCAAGTGAACCCACTGTCATTTGCGGAGGGTCCTATTCCTTATTCCTAGGGTGACAATAGTACGGCTGCCGTCCCCAAGCAGTCGCTCATAAAGGTCATAAATCGTTTGCTCTCTCCAGCGCCTAGTGTATTCTCGGGACGAGACTTCTATATCTTCTTATCCTAATTTATATATCTACTGAAATCTGCAGGAGACAGTAGAAACACCGCTGCAATCACCACCGATCCGTGAAGCCACAGTAGGTGAAGAAGTGCCTTCTTCAGCTTCTTCGGCACCCAGCGAGGAAGTTCCTCCATCTAACGAAGCTTTGCACTGTCTTGGAATAGATGATCTCACTAAAGCTCTCACAGAAGCTAAACACCAGAAATCAGTGAGTTCAACAACATTTTATTACTTTTATTCGACTGTACATATGGTTTTAGCCAACCATCTCGTTGCTTTCTACTGCTCTGAGTATTGTTGGTTCGATCAACATATTAACGGGACCCATTCCTCCCACACGCCCACCACTATAACTCCTATATGCCAGGATCAACAGCACTGACCCACAAACATACAAGTCTGGTGTTATTTGTGTTCGTTTGATGAATATTTGTAAAGATGCCGTGACTCAGGACATATTCCAACTGCGGCAGTCATCTTAAAATAAAAATTAGGAATTTCAACAGTCTACAGAGTTAGTTTTAAAAAAGAATTTTTAAATTTAAACATTAGGGATAAAATGCATTTGTATATCAATAGACGTCAAGTATTGTCTATTTTCAGTTTCTTCAGATATGTCCAGTTGATGTCTATGTCCTAGTCTCTCATACAGATACGGGACCTTGGCGTTTTCAAGCTACTGTAGTCTCGTTCCATATGCTAATTTTCTCGTACCTTCCTCTTTTGTCTCAATCCTTCTTTAAAATAATTAAGTTTCCAAGAAGGATTAACGTCAGCTGGCAATAAAATAAACATAGATCCGTAAGATGTTTATACCTACCACTTTCAGAGCTTGCTTTCACAAATTTAAGTAGCATTTACTTAAATTTGTATCAATGACCCGTTTTATTTACAGATTTTACGTCGAACTCTAAAAGATTACGAAATATGCTTTGAGCAACAGAACTGTCGCAAAGTTCAAAGGGATGACAAGAAGGGGCATGAAGAGGAATACCTTCGTTACAAAGCAGTCAAAGCCAGAATCAAACTCATCACTGCATTAATAAACAAACAGAAAAATCACAAAAACACTAACTGAGCCGTACGCAAGCCACATTTTCATATATACCTAAACAAATAATTCTTAAACCTAGTTAGATTACAAAAGTACGTGTCACAATAGTGACTTATTAGCTGTTCTATACTAAATAATATGAGCTATATATTGTGTTATATCTTGTATACAAATTGCATGGTGTACAGATAATTTATAAGAATATTTCTTTGTGTATTAGATGTTGACATTCGGCGATAAGTCATTTTCTTACGATCAAAGTTGATCTAAAAATCTAGTGCTTCCGAAATTGAAAACGGTAATTTAAAATGACAAAAGTTACATCGGCCCAGTGTCATTTCAATAAAATCATTGAATATTATTGAAATTTATAACAACAATTGATTGAATGTTTTTATATGTACATATATTCTTTTAACGAACAATTGTGTAGTGTCCAATATCTTTCTATGCAATTTTGGATTTAATTGATTCCAGCGAGTAACTTAAGGTGAAAGATATATGAATTAATACAATAACATAAAACAATTCAATGACCAGTGTTATATATTTATTCAGTACTTTTGTTCACACAGATTTTAAACATGGAATACATAATTTGGACCGTGCACTTTCCAAGTGGCGACAATAGGATGTATTTAACTGTCACAGTGTAGAAATTACAGTATACTAATTGCTATGTAACAGAAATAACTGTCGTAAATTCTTTGTATTTTACTAAATATTGTTTAAAATAGTAAGTAAAGTTAGCATCTTACTCAAAAATAATAGGCAAGTGTTTTGTCCTAAAGGTCTTTTTCACTGTCTTACTTTTGACACAAAAAAAACAAGGCAATATACGAAATATATTGATTTTAAGTCGATATCGTTTTTGTCCAAAATATTTCGTATTAAATGAATGTCTTACTGCTACATATGTAACAAATACTACTTAAATAATCATGTAAATTATTCATTGGGTAAACCGATGTTATGTAATTTATATAATTTTTAAATTATACACGGTGTAAGGGACATCGTAACGAATACGGAAATAGTGTATCCATCAACAGCCTTTAACAGTCCACAGCTGGACATAGGCCTCTCATTAGAAAGGAGGTTTTGGCCTACTATACCACGCTGGCCAGACGGGTTGGTACAGGGTTTGAGTCAAGTTTTCCTTCTCTTTGCAGTGCTGTTGTACTGCGTGGTTTTCTCCCTTAGTCGGCTCTTACGACACCCACGAGATGAATGAGGGTGGTGACACTTCGTATTCTTATTCCGTCACCACACGGTTTATACGAAATAGTGTATACAGACCATCATTCTGAGTCTAAAATCATTGGAAATAGTTATATTAGCTAAGTAGTGTTTTTCCCATCTGATCCCGCTTGTAATGATAACAATTTCGGTAAATCAAGTAAAGTCAGGTTCAACCTTTAATGTTTGATTTACATGATTAAATTCTGTCGAGTTACGATAGTCTATGTTTTTCACACTATGGCTATGTAAATAAAAATACTTTCAAAGCGATTATGGGGTTCTATGACAAGCTTCTTTGTGCCCCCAATATCTAATTGACGTTAGAGCTACTAATATATAATAATAATTATATGACTTATATACATATGTGTATAACTACGCGACCTGAACAAAAGTATATTAACTCGGTGACGAATGCAGAAAGTCATTTTGTATGTTCAGAAGGAAGAATATGTAGAAAAATTGTGTAATTTTACTGTCTAATTTTGAACTGGTAAAGTAAAACAAAATACAAGTTAATAATCTAAAAAAAAACCTTATCTGTTATATAATATTTATAATTGTGTGAGATGGAACTATCTCTTTACGTGTAAAAGGCCCTTGATTCGGAGCCGTTTTCATTCTCTGAAAGAGAAAACAGTTAATGTATTTAGTGATAAAAGTACTTACTGTGATTTTATTGTAACAAAAAATATTCTTGTGTGACAAGAACTTGAATGTCTTAATAGTCGTTGTATTAGATGTTAGATACAGGTTCCGTTCAACAATATTTCTTGCCCGACTTCGTTAAAGTAAAACAAGATTCAGCTTTTATATTACGCATTATACCTTAAAGAGTATTGTTAAAAAATGGATGCAATTTCACAAACGGTTTTTAGTAAACATTATCTACTTAACTTAAAATAAATTATACAAAATAATTACGACACCTATTTTAATGCAAGATGTTGAAAGAAGATAGGACTTCTTAGTGATCGTTACTACTCTTATTATTAATGAAGTATGGTACATGAAGAAAATGTTGCCATGTGACAAAGACAGCTGCGTACTGTAATCAACATCTAGTTTTTAGCTTATCAATGACAAGCTAATAATTCTAATGATGGCTTTGCAATATATAAGTAAGAGGTTTAATGTATACAATTATGAGAAATCAAAATGGATATCATATCAATGTGAAAATGACAGTAAGCTATATGTACCAATGTTGATGTAGTACTCCTATATTTTTAGTTATTTTTCTTTACCCGCCTAACATGATCGCTAAACAAGAAAGCTATACTCAGCTAATTTATTATAGGCATTGATTACAGTTTTAAAATGCATATTACTATACTCTGTAGAGTTCCACAAATTGCAATTAATATAATGTTTAAAATAAAAAATAGAACCAACATGTTTGTTTTTATTGATCATTTCAAGAATCGCTATAAGTGATCTTACCACCTCTAATTCACAAAATTATGAACAGGTATGTTAGCTGCTTAACATACTTAGTATTTATAATTTAGTCAACTCGCCTTTGGATTTGCATATACCTGCGATGAAAAATAGTCTTCACTCTACACCGTCGTAGACTCCGAAGACCTCAAGATGACTGAACTGTTCGTCGATGAAGTAGGGTCTATAATAATATAACTTGAGTTTTATGACGGCAAGTAAGTATTTTTTTCAGGTACGAAAGCGTGTCGGGGTTCCAGGGATTTCCTTCCTAGGGTACACCTGGGTCCCCGGCTATTGGTACCCGAGACGGCGTGCGGTTTTTGGCCGGTTAATTTCAGACATAACCACCGGTGCGTGATATCCGAGGGTTGAATGTTATAAAAGCGTATTAGCTATAGTTTTGTCTAGAACATTCCTAATACTATTCCCATTAATATCTGTATCTACTTCTGTTATATCAAAGTGAAGCTTTTAATTACAAAAAACTTAGTATATTCAATATACAAATCCTTCCGAATTTCAATAGACTAAGCTGTCGATGGGAATTGCTTTGTAACAGAGGAATTAACCCAGCGGAGAGAAGGACCCACTTCAAAACGATGAAATTATTTTCTAATTTTTTGTGGGGCTTGTTACAAAAGCGTGTATTTTAGTTTTTTAAACTATAATTTATTTTATATATATATATATATATATTTCACTCTCCTACAATGTGGTAATTGCCTATTGGTCTTCAACTAATATTGAAACGACAACTCCTGTTTTATTTATTTAATTCACAATAGTAACTTAGATCTAAGATGTACACTGTATACTAGCCAATAGTACCCAATTGTTTAACGGCGAAAAGCGTTTGTGAATTTATTAAAAATAACCTATGCTACACCTTATATACATCACACAAAGTTAAATAAAAAACTTAAGTTAGAAACTATAAACATTGCCTCATAATATTAAGGATAACTACATAAAGTATAAACACTAATAGTATTTCAAGAAGGACAGTCGCTTGTGTATATAATAGTAAAAGCAACCATACATTGTCTGTTTTTTTGATGTTTAAATTGTTTCTACGTAAGCACAGTTGTATTATACAGGTGAAACAGTTAAATAAGAAATTAAAGACAGTGTGTGTCTCAATTATTTATTTTGAAACGATCGTGCAGAGAGTAAGTATAATTTTATTTATAAAGGATAAATGTGATGATACAACCATATTACTCCTTATTTTGATCGTTTTAAAGAACATTAAAACCTTTTTCTTGTTTAAAGACTGTCTTGTTATCTGTATATGATTGTACTCTAGTCTATGATTGTGTGATTGAAGTGATTATTTGTATATACTTTTCTAAATTTGTGATTGCGTTATTAAAATATAAGTTTTAAGACGTAACAAAGTATTATTCTTACGCAAGCATTTTCGATGCAATATTATATAGGTCGACGTGTTTGATAATCTAAGTAGACATAAATTAGCCTGAAGTGTGGTACATAACATTTTTAATTTTTAAGCATTACATGGACTCTGCGACTTCGTAGAATATATATCATTTGCCTTGCCGTTTGCCTTGTCCATATTAACCCGTTGTCATTGACACACCATTCCTAATTAATGAAAAGCTGAAACATGCACTTTCGAAATAAGACATGTCTCGCTTGCATAGATATCACAAGCGAAGTCGGATAATATTTTGGGTTGATTAACAAGGTCGCAGTACAAATGTCCCTTAGTTAAAATGAGGCTTAAATATTGATGTCGGCATTGAAAGCTACGTTAAAAGTTCCTGATGCTTTGAAGAGCCTCTTCAGAGGATTACATGCGATATTCTTCGTGTCCTGGAGGTTAAAAGAATTCAAACTTAAAAAAAAATTAACAAAGAATATTTTAAAATTATTGTTTTACAATTTCTGTCTCAACTTAATAAAAAACGGACTATGAATTAGGCATTCCAATATACTTCAATCAATAATGATTCATTGTTCTTATTTTCTAATAAAAATAATTAAATAAATAAATAAAACAGTATTGATTGATTTAAAATTAATTATCATTAATTATTTTTACGACAAAGATTAACGACTCACGATTATATTATTTTTTACTAACTAACCTGATCAATATTGTTATGTGTTCCTATGTGTCCGAACTGAATCTGAGTGTTATAACTGCCGTCCGTGGGCGCACCTGAAAAAGGGATATTTTAGTTCCTCAAATTAACAGCACCAAGTAATACTAGAAACATTTGATGATGATTTTGACGATGATGATTTGTTGACTAATTAATACTAACAAAACGATTACCTTCCTTGCGTTAGTATTAATCAGCATTGGGAAATTGTTATGGTTGAAACAACTCAAAACGCTGCTGTAGAAGAAGATTAATATATTTATAATACCTTTTTCGTTCTGCCAAGCTGTATTAACATGATTCCCCACTTGCTCAGTTGTAATTGTGGGTTTATGCCAAACTCGTTCGGTTGTGGTTGTGGGTCTATACAAGTATGGTTCGGTTGTGGGACTATACAAGTATCGTTCGGTTGAGGTTGTGGGTCTATACAAGTATTGTTCGGTTGTGGGTCTATACAAGTATCGTTCGGTTGTGGGTCTATACAAGTATCGTTCGGTTGTGGGACTATACAAGTATCGTTCGGTTGAGGTTGTGGGTCTATACAAGTATCGTTCGGTTGTGGGTCTATACAAGTATCGTTCAGTTGTGGGACTATACAAGTATCGTTCGGTTGAGGTTGTGGGTCTATAAAAGTATTGTTTGGTTGAGTTATCGTTCGTACGTGGTGTTGTTGATTCATGCCACACCCGCTCTGTCGAGACTCTTGCAGTCGCGTTGTTTACCTGAAAAGTTTTTATTACGTTATACTTATGTAAATATTAAGCACGTTGTTTTTAAACATTAAGCTTAAAAGTAAAGTTTTGCCACAAAATTGTATAACTGTGTTATGAATTTTTTTACGATCAAAAGAGCAGACGACCACCGATGTTCAGGGACACTTGCAACTTAAAAGTCACAAGTGCGTGCCGCCCTTTCAGTCCTATAATCAGGAGGAAGGGGGCGGTGTTTAGGCTCCGGTAAACTCAATCACTTGGTGAAAAGCAACGATAGAACTGAGGTCCAAGTGCGAGTTTATTTCGGTTCTACTCGATCGTCCCGGTGACCGCGTTCGGCGGTACGATTGGCCCGCACTGAAATCTCCACCAATCGCAAGGCGAAACGCGTTCGCCGTCGCGAGCGAGTCGATGTGAAATAAACTTGTACGAGACCCTCTGTTTCACACTCACACCGGTTTTCTATGGCTGGTTAAGCTGTGATATTACTCCGGTCGAGCCACTACTCCCACGTTTGAATCTATATACCATGAGTAAGTCAATTTAAAAGAAAACGAACAACAAACTTAATTTCTAATGACTACTCACTAGTAACCAACAAAAGTTGTTAAAAATCTATATCACGCTGTTCATTGTTAACCCTTTCACTCCTTAAATAAAGCTATAATGCGTAATTACTCGTAAAATACAAATAAATAAAACTCGTTGTTTTCTGCACGGTATTACTCGGGTGACTTCTTTTTGAAGAAATCTGATGCTCAATTTGTAATGTACAAAATTTGGTGCATTATTGTTTTTGATTAGGTTTATTTGAGTTTCTGATGTAGGAAACCTTTAGTTTTACACAATCAGTATTATCGACACTAGCAGCAGTTAGAAGTTATTATATATTTTTTATACTCTACATAAAAAGTTAAAAAAGTGCCTAAACTATAAATATTAGAGAATTGTATACAAAGCAGACTTACTTCTTTGAGGATACTTTGTTTGACAATTTCACCAACCCTCTTGACAATCCTTGTAGATATAGAACTGTTACAGGTTTCTACGCTTTGAAGAATGCATTTTAGAAGGTTATCATATACACGAAAATTTTCCTGCAAATACACAAAAAGGCTGTGTTTGTAATATTTCCTTGGAGTGGTAAAATTTTGAAGGAAATTTTAATGATTTCATCTTAAGTAAGTTTCAGTTGTGAGAGCTCGTTTAGGGCTCGTGCAGCATGCAAGCGATGTCGCGCGACTTCGGCCGACATCGCTGACACACTGTACGAGGCCTTATATACACGAAAAATTAAGTAGAGCCATAACTCTGCTCTGTCGAACACGGTGTGTACAACAGAGTAAAACAAAGTACAGATGTATTTTTATACTCGCTCGTTTAAAACTTACATTGAAGTTTTCAACTTCTTCAATGGAAATACATCTCAGATCCCGATTTTTCCGGGTTTGTGTTTTGTGATGTGTAATTTTATAACTAGAATACTTCTGTATTTTTAATGGAATCCAAGAAAATTACAGATTTTTGTTAGGTGTTGAACATTTACGCTATAGGAAGTATGAAAGCAGTTGCGGTATTGCAAAAATTTGTAAGATGAAAAGACGTAGTCTCTTTCATAGAGGGCTATAGTTCGTCTAATCTAAATCTAATATAAAATGTATGAATAATCGAACTTATCAATAACTAGGCATTTCCAATCCAGACTTTGTCAGTATTTAATAATAGTTAAATGATAACTTCCAACTGTCAACGAAAACGCATAGAAAAAATAATAGAACGTACCTAAGTTAATGTAAGTTTATATAAATCTTTGTAGGCAAAATCGCTCGTGTTCTAGACAAAAATCTATTATTTTTTGTATTTGACTATGTGTTATATGGCTATATACGGACTTTTTAGTTTATTCCTAACCTAAGGATGAAACTGAAAAGAGCGAAAAATTATCTCTCTCTCTTACAAAATTCTGACATTTACTCACACATTTTGGTTGGTATATTCGAAGATGCACTAGTAAAACTTAAGATATAGCAATATACGGGCTTTACAGTTACAGATTTATATCTGTAACCGATTAGTAAATACAAAGAAATGAAATCGATATTTCTTAGGAATCGGATATTTTAGTGAATGATTTCTTTGACACGGTACGTCTTAGTTTAGATAGACAAATATAGTCACAGATTTATAGAGTATAATTACAAGTTATTTTAGCGTCCCTGTAGAACACTAGTGTGAATGTCGCAACATACCTAGTATATAAAATATGTATCTTCACAGGTTTAGGTTATGCTATTGTATAATCTATGGTTCGGTGCGTTTCAAATTTAAACTAATAAACTGTTCTAAACCTGACTTCTTGCATTTTTAAACGTATTTTGTAATGAGGCGAATAAAACAGCTGTACAGTACTGAGGCAATATTCCAGTAATATATTCAGTAGATCCAATTCTCGTGGAGATTAAACCTGAAAATCATATATGACTACTAGCTGACCCGGCAAACGTTGTTTTGCCATATACATTATTAAAAAAAAAAAATACGAGCATGAAAAATAAATGTTGGCCGATTCTCAGACCTACCCGATATGCACACAAAATTTTACGAAAATCGGTCGAGCCGTTTCGGAGGAGTATGGTAGCTAATATGTGACACGAGAATTTTATATATAAGATGATAAAAATCTAAAGCTAATCGTGTGCAACAAAACTTACAGTTACTGATAAAGACGAACTCTGTTCCATGTTTAGAACCGAGCTCTTAGACATTTCGGTGCACATCATGATATCATACGTTTTCTCTTGAAAACACTGTGGACCACCCTCCATGACGAATTCTAAAAAAGGAATAAAATACATTATATGTCGGTAACTAATTTAATTTTATTCTACATAATAGACATCTGTTATAAAATTATTATCTGTAATCAGTGTGAAGTCAGTAGTGATTAATAATTTAATAGTATTATTAACAAAAAAATATCGTCGGATTCCGGAGACACATATTTCATAGTACTCCGCTTCCGACCACAAAAGAACTCTTAGGGATAATATAATCATAAAGCATACTCGTACTAATCAACCTTCTAATTCTTTTGATGTCTTCTTAATACTTCTTAATATATAGGTTGGGCCAGGAGCACGACTGGTTCCCCGGCTACTGGTACCAGAGATGGCCGTGCGATTTTTAGTCGGGTTGGGTTCTATATACCCCTACCAGTCATCCGAAAGGGGTATCCGAGGGGATTTCCACACGAAAAAAAGGTGTCTAAATAAAACTCCACATAAAAACAAGATGTTACCTTTAATAAGATGGTGAAAGCCACATGTAAATTTCACCAACCCTCTTAAGTTCTCCTGTCAATTTCCAGTCTTGCAAGTGTAGCCATACTGCTTACCAGTTTACGAATCAATTCAACTATGCGATTTCATCATCATCATCCCCAGGAAGGAGCCGGTGGCCGTCATCAAGGCATCAAGTTTTCCTTCTCTTTGCAGTGCTGTCCTATGTGGTTTGCTCCCTTACTCGGCTCTTACAACACCCACGGGATGAAGGGGGGTGGTGACACTCCGTATTCTTAATCCGACACTACACGGATAATGTGACTAGGGAATGCAATCTCGTGCAGATCTCGTCCTTTTTTAGCGAGATTGATCTCGGACGAAGAAAGGGCGAGATCTAGCGAGTTTAACAAGGTTGCACTCGAGCATAAAAACGTCTTATTCGAAGCGTGGACTGACACGGACAGAGTTGCGATCTGTCGTTTTTTTTGGGTACGCGGGAGGTGGCGACGAGGATCTCTCAGTCAAATTTTACAAGATAACATTTTATTACTAAAAGATAAATACTTGTTTGAGACTAGAAGAGAAGGCTGGTTGTTTCTTTCATTTGTTATTTGATAGATACGTACGTCAAAGTTTACTACTTAGAAGTTTATTAAAAAAATATAGACAGATACGTCAAACAATGTTTTATGCATAACCTATTAAAAAAATTCTTGAAAATAAATGATTTTCTCATAGGTAATACTTTTTTTTTTCAAATATTGTGATTATTTGCAAAAAAACTCATAAGCTCTGCCAAGCTCGCGAGATCTTGAAATTGGAGGTATCTGGCAGTATTGTTCTCGCTTGAGCCCCAATTTCGCGAGATTTGCATTCCCTAAATGTAACTTACTTACTTGTCATAATGTAACCATCGTTTTCGCACACGTAGTCCAAGATTTGGTCGTTCATGTTCACGGAGATTGTTGCCAAATCTTGTTTCCCGTCGCCGAAACAAGGAGCCACTGCGTCCACCAGTTTATGATAGCAAGCTTTTATCTCCGGGGTCTTGCGACAATACCTTAAACATCGCTATATAATTAATATGGCGTTCGTTTGTAAACAAAATAAGTACTTGGAAATAAGGAATCAGGAACCTGTCTATCAGTTATAGAACGTGTTAAAGATGCCGTATTTTATATAGAATAGTAATTAACAGTTGAGGGGCTCCTGGCTGAGTGCTAATCGATTAGGTTAACAAAGTTAAGCAATCTTAGCCAAGTCAGTCTATGGATGGGTGACCATTATTAACACATTGAGACCTCTCCGTGCCTCGGAGAGCACGTTAAACCATCGGTCTCGCTTGCCATACGAATATCTGTGGCAATCGTTGCTGCTAGTTGGAGTCCTAAAAGACTTTTTTAGGACAACATCAGTCTTTCTACAAAACTTCCATAGCGCCTAGTACTCGGGCCTGTGGAGGTCTGATGGCTTCGCTTCACGTAAAAAATCGTTCAATCGCATCGTAGTAGACTTAAAAGCCGACCCGAACCTAGTTTGGGAAAAAGGCTCGGAGGAAGAACTAATAAATAGTTGAGTCTAGTCTGAATACAACAAAATCAAAATACACATTCAAATGATCATTTTTAAGCAAAGTGATTTCAATATTCGTGACAATTTCAATTATCCTTTCGTGATTTTATTTTGACAACTCAGAAGAAGTGGGCAAGCCTATCACCCCTACCTAGAACTGTGTCAATTACGGTTAGGAAAAGTGGGCGGCGATTGTAAAAGACGGGAGGCAGAAAGGTGAGGTAAGGAAAATTACACTGTTTATAAAAATAATCTATGACTCGAGGAATGAGAATGGCTATTAATTCCCGTAAAATACAAGCCGTCTAATTTAATATTAATTTAATTTACAAAATAGATTATTGAAAGGCATACATAGAAATCCTTAAAGTCTGTACCGACTTATTCGTTTTATAGCGGTCATGGAAAAAACATAGATTTTTACTTACTTTTGAAAGACTCTATTAAAGGCACTATAGCTGTGATACATAAAGGCCTCTTTTAATTCACTTTCAAACATTTTCACTTCAAAGTCAACTTCTATACAGTTGACAAATTGTACAGCTGCATTCTGAAATAAAAATACTCTTATTTTTGGATGTATTTTATTTTTAATCTAGATTTTCATGCCTAGTTAAAAAAGAGAGTTTTATTAAAATAACAAAATTCAATTATCATATAAATCTTATATATACAAAAATGTTAAGTTGGTTTGTGTACGCTTCAAAAACTCAGAAAGTTCTGCATCGATTTCGCTCAAATTTTAACACGACATATAACCCGCTGCAAAGATGATATTTATCTATTTTGCTTGTCAGTTTTGTTTCTCATTTCTAGTCAATGCAACTACAATATGCCACAGCGAAGCATGGCAGATTACCGCCTGTACCTATATAATGAAAATGAGTGATTTCGAGGAAAACACTTTTTATGTTGTTGTAATATTAGGTGCGAAATATGTAAAAAAAATAATTACATAATTGCATATACATAAATTACATGAGGTTTGCTCATGCAGGTAATCTGTTTTTTAAGAAAAGATATCAAAAGGTTTAGAGACCGGTTATAATATTAATCGAATTGGGCGAATCGTAGCGCCAAACGCGGTTACCGTGACGAGCGAGTAGATTTGAAATAAACTCGCACTTGGGCCTCTGAACCGATTTTAAAAATTATGTCACTGATAGAAGAGTTTATTATCCTTGAGTGCTAGAGATTACTTTTTATTTTATTAAATATATGTTTTCAATCATTAATATCAATAATGTAATTAAAGGCGGTAGAAATTCTATGATATGCAGTGCGTTGACTAAACGGTATTTTTGTTGGCAAAAATATTCATTATTTTTAGCTTTACAATAAAGACCTCGTATTACGAGGTTGTACGAGGCTCGTAACCAAATGTCTAAGTTTAATATCTCAGCCAAAAAGATGGTTTTAGTGTAAAAAGTAGAATAAATTTTACAAGATTAACTTTGGAAAAAGGGTTCATTAAAGATAAATGTATGTAATGTACTGGGAACAAATAAGAGTAGATACGTTCCCTTGTTTGATCAAGTATTGATCGAAAAGTTTTAGTATTTTAGCAGAACTAAATTGATAATTGTTAATGAGAATTACGTTAATATTACCTCAACCGCGGTGTAGTTTGCACCGTTCTGAAGACACATCTTCTTCATCATATTTACCCCCATTGGCGAGGGAGGCGGGCTGTCAAGGCGGTATCCCTCTGCCACCACCGCTAAGAACAAGAACAACAGAATAGCAGTTTTTGTTAAAAAAGCTTGAAATTTATAATTTTAAGTGCAACCCTAATTATGATTTTATCTTATACTTGCAATCATTATGAGGCATTCTGTTAATTGGTAAAACCTCATTATATTCCGTTCAATAGCCTTTAAAATTACCGCGAATAAACAGATTTTTGTTTGAACAGAACTTTGTTTTATAATGGTACGAGTAGGTAAATTAAAAACATTGTCAAACAGAGGTACGTAGGTAGATTTATCAGTAATTGATTTTTTCGTCTGTAAATAAAATATATTTAACCTAATGAGACGTGTATGAAACAGGAGACAAGTATAGTAGCCGAGTCATAGAAACATTACAGCTTACAGGACAGAAATAGATTACAGGAACATGGTCAGTTTTGCATGGTCATTTGTATAAAATAATATTTAATTAAAATAACATAGGAAGCCCAAAATACTATAAATTTAGAACAAAACAACAATTTACTAATTTGCTTAGTTTTTTTTGTCGCATGACGTTATATCATGGCGCATTTTTGTAGAATAGATACGATAACTTTAAAAAAGTGTTTAAATGAATGAAAAATAACTTTTTCTGATTGAATATTCCATAAATAGTACATTTTTATTATGACCTTCATAGCGTAAATTTCCTGTTGTAAAATTCGGCCTTTTATTGGAAACTAAAAAAAAGAACTTAGCTATAGAGTGTAGCAAAAAGTTTTGTATGAAGAACAGTAGTTGATTTAGTTTAAAAAAACAAGGGTATTAGATTTGTTGGACCCTAAGAAGCCTAGTTAAGTGCAGGTCTGAAATGTAATCCGTTTTTTTTAATTTTTATGCAGACATTTAAAAAAATATATGCACATTTGATCATACATCAGAAAACTATGAGGCAATAAGTAAGTATTATATACTAAAAGTAAGTATAATTTATGTCAGCTTTGTCTTAAACTTCAAAATATTATTTCTTTTTCAAAATCCCAAATTATCCTAAAATTGTTAGCGCCCTATGATTACACTACGCGCACTATAATGCGATTTCAAACATGTCCAGAGTTCTGCTTAAAACTTCCAGACTTATATTAATGTCAAAGTGAGTTTGTTTGTTTGTTACGTTTTCACGCCTAAATCACTAAACCGATTTTAAAAATTCTTTAATCAATGGAAAGCTGCATTAAAAATTATGAAACATAGACTATATACTATTTTAGTGACAAGTGACAATAGGTATGTAAAAAAAAAGTAAATAGTTTTTTAAAATAAATAATACCTTTTATAAATTGAAAAAAATGAGTTTTTACTTACCCAAAGCCAACACAGTTAAAACAATCATTTTCACGATTGTTTAGATTGTTGCATTCAAAGACTTGAACGCAAATGTATTTAATGTAATATTTCCTTCCATTATATAGCCGTTGAAATAAGGAAAAAGGAGCTTTATGAAAATAATTAATTATATTGTTTTTAACATTTAAACAATAGTTATAGGTATAACGGTTAGATATCAACAAAGCAAAGAATTAAATATTTCTTATAATATTTTTTTTTATAATACAAATAAAGTGAATGAAATAATAGCAAAGAAAATACATATTTCAACGACATGGCTCTATCCTCGTGGTAGAGCCATGTCGTTGAATGTTGTATGGTCTGACCCACTGACTCGTATACGAGTATAGTATGGTACCTGTAAATTATTTTATTTTACTACAAGTTGTTGATCTATAATCCACCATCATCTTTCTAGCCATTTCTCAAATTTGCCATTCTCTTTGATGACTTGACATCTCTTTCTTTCACGCACTCCTTCATTTTATTGCGAAATGGTTTTGGCTTTTTCTTATTGCCGGCCGGTTGCCTGACCAAGCCTCGTAATCTTTCTTGGTACATTGAAACGAAATGATCTATCATAGTTTCTGAAGTCATATGTGTAGTGTATCATCTATGTCACCTACATAAACCAGATATTTAAAACAAAAAACAAATTATTCCTAGTTACAATAACAAAGTCAAATTTTATTCACTTGTAAATTTTTGACTATCTGTTGCACTTACCATACTTAGTATGTTATCATTGCGATTTTATAAACAGCGTGTTAACTGCGCCAATATAGCTTTTGGAATATATACATAACACAAAGAAACAACTTTATATTAGAAAAAGGTATCAAATCAGCAAATAAACATTAACATGACATTCTGCTTATCTTTTTTGATCTATATTACCTTTAAAAAAAACATCACAGATTTTAATGAGGTTTAATCGTTATGAATTGTAATAAACTGATAACCATAGTTACTTTAATTTTTCAACCTTAGGGGAGACATTTTTTCTTCAAATTTGAAGAGGACTGGATAGGAAGTTTACCATACTAAATAAAAAAAGAATTTTTCAAATCGATTCATAAATCAAGGAATTCTGAGGTAACAGATATAAAAATGGTTGTATTACATACTTTTGTGGAAATGCTTTATTATTTTATTCACTTTCTTGTGTACATATTTCTGTTTTACGACGCAAAAACCTAATAAATATCTTGAAAGAATACAGCTAAAGGTCAATACGTTGTTATGTTATTGAAAAGGTTATACCCTAACTCCTAAAAGTCAAGGACCCTTTCTTTTTCAGTTCAGCAACATGAGATAATGACGAACCTATAAGATTTAAGGGTTTCCCTTGACTTTTTTTTCTTTTGGGATCCCATCAGCAGATCCTGATTTATTGACCTTGAGACCACTTCGGAAGTATTACCCTTTCGATCTTCGATCAACTATTATTGATCGAAGCTTTCGATAGTAAAAATAATTTAAGAAATGAACCCAAAGTGTGGGGAAAAATCGCGTAACGAACGAACATACATGTTTCGAATCTCTTCTTTTTTGAAGTCAGTTAACAATACTGGCAGTTTTATTGTATCTAGACAAATACTAACCGTTGACAAGAAATAATATTCCAGATGAATTCCCCGGGACGGTGGCATGCGTGACAAAGTATCAGACTATCGCTCTCGATATATTATACCTAGTCACGTGTCAAGAAAAGCGACTAAAATGATTAACAGGGATGTAGATGAAATGAAGGTTATGTTGAACGCATACCACCTTAATATAAATGCTATGCATCAGGAATATGGTACCGTTTCTTCATTTCGATGCGAGATACTCCGACCACCGCATTCTACTGTGTACATGTACTTTTGGTATAATAAGTTTCAAGCTCCTTTGAAAAAAAATTGTTTTCTGGTTTTGACTTTTACCTTCATAATAAAGCTAATTAGAATATAAAGAACAATAAGAAGTATAATAACAATAGTACTATTGTTGTTTTCAATAAATGAATTTAGTTATAATTAGATGGTAAAACCATATTCCAAACTACAACCGTGATAAAGTCAAGTTCGATTCCAGTTCCTAAGTAAACATTTTAATTAAAACTTATCGGCAAATAGGAAACATTGAAAACAAAACATATAACATATAGTAATTTAGTGATTATCCGATATTTAAACTAAATTAAACTTAAGGTTTAAAGGATTATTTGAAACTACTAGTTTAACTAAACTGGTAGAAATCTCATCAGGTGATTTTTTATATTTGAAAGCTCAGAACTCGTTCGTTTATGACCTGATTAGAAAATTCTTGTTTATTTAAAGGGGTATATATACTTCCCGTTTGTTGACATTAAAATTTGATTAAAAAAATGGTAAAGGTAAAAATTAAGGAATGAAAAATAATAACAGTTTGCTGACAAATCTTTTACTGTGCAAGGAGTAAGACTTTGGAACAACTTGCCTTTGACAATCCGACAAGCTAAAACCTTGCCCGCTTTCAAAAAGCTAGTGAAGGATTTTTATCTGACATTATAAATACTGTTGGTTTCTTTGTATATAGTATATATTTTGGACAGTATATATATATGTTGTGTGTTTGTCTATTGAATATGTATATATATGTTTATATAATATGTATATGTATATTTATAAATTTTGTTTATGTATGTTCTTCTTTTTTTCTTTTCAAAAACTTTAATCACACTAAGATTTACATTTGTTTACATTTTCTCGATTCGCCAAACTGTTCTAACAGTTTGTAGGCGTTCCGCTCAATTTATAATAATCTAAGTACTTAAATGCTAGTTTATAAATTCCTCCTACAACGGTGTACTAACTCAACAAACAAAATAATTTCAAGACAAACAATACATAAATATGTGTACCCTGACTATTTCCTGGGCACCTGCTTCCCTATTTATGTACGCGTTTTAATCTATTGCCATATCCAAACATTTCTTTTAGTCTTAGTTTTAGTTTAAACTTACATTTTATTTTCTTGTCCTCCCTTAGTATTTGATATTTATTACATAACTGGTACTACATACTTCCTGGTCCTTTCCCCATAATAATTATTTACTTTTAACTGCTCTAATTTTCCCTTCTTTATTACTCTGACACTGTAATGATATTTTTTCTTTATCTTATACTCTTCACTATGATATGATTCTAATGCTATTAAATATTTAACTTTTTCATTGACTGGTATGATGGCACATTCGGAAAATAACTTATTATAGTCATCTTTGTGCTTTTTCCTAATTCTTTTATCTACTATTATTTTTAAAAATCTTAACTGTATCTTTTTAATTTCCTCTATATACGTTTTAAATGTTAGTCCGTAACAGCTTAGCCCATAACTAATAATTGAATCCGCTAGTGCATAGTACACCATAAACAAAGTACGTCTGTCTAATATTCTTTTGAGGATGTAAAACTTACTTAGAACTGACCTTAATCTATTACATACCAATTCTATGTGTGGTCTCCAGCTAAATCTATTATCTATTATCAACCCCAAGTACTTAATGGTGGTAACTAACTCCAATTCCTTACACTGACAGCTCTGGTTTTTATGTAAACAGTCATGTGTGTGTCCTATGATACGTATATTAGCCCCTCCTCTCGTGACTCTATTGTAAGGTGAACATATATGCATGATTTTAGTTTTATTGGTGTGTATGTATGTATGTATGTGTATTTATCTATGTGTAGTGTGAACAGGTTTTTATTTGTGTATGGATGCTTTTGTTTATATTTTAAATATTCACGTGAAATGCGTTACGTGTATGTAAACTACCCAACTTTTAAATAACTAATATCCGTATCAAGGTTGTCTGGAAGAGATCGCCGTGAGCGATAAGACCGCCGATGGTTACGTCTAAATATTTGTAATGTCTTATGTGTTAACTGTAAACAATAAAGATATATAAATAAATAAAACATAGTTAACTAACTTTTGCCCGCGGCTTCACTTACGTGTATGTCGGTTATCACGCTAAAAAGTACCCCCAATGGTTTTCGCTGATAATGTAGCTTTTTATTGGTGAAAGCTACATTATCAGCGTTGTTGCAATGTTTAAAATTGGTGTAGAGGTTTAGGCGTGTATTGATTATTTTGAATGTCTGATAGTAAAAATTTGGTCAATTATTTCTTCTCGAACGATAATTGTTCAAACGCATTAGGAAATAGTATCATAAAGCCTTGTGCACATCAGTTGCGGTCCCATTGGGGAAAATGAGCAGCAACCTTTTTGCCTAACTGCCTTTGTTACAATTATGCTGCATACCTACTGAAATATAATGCAGGTGAAGGAAGACGTAAGTAAATGAAACATTGTTTGCACTTTTAGTTTATATTTGCAAATTTTGTGTACAGAATAAAGAGATACAGTTTTTTGCTAAAAGACAAATTTCTAGCTAGATTTTAGAAATAGATTTGTTTGACATCTAAAATTTAATGCCTTTAAATCAGAATTAAATTCAAATATTATTATTATTGTAATTCAAAATATATGTCTACTGCAATGAAAAATAAACTATTTACATTGACTTGCATTTGAAACACTTAAATTGTGATCTATTGTCGCAGCACATTAGATTAGGTTTACTCGAACTGGAGTATATAGTCTTCATCGGTGAAAATCATAAATTATTACATTTGTTATATATGTATGAATTGGTTGAATTTTATGAGCACTTAACACATTGCTCTGGAAATATGATTCTAACGCTTAAATCTTAATCATAAAATGTTGCACATGCATTTCAGACTCCATTAGACCTACAAAGGTCTACGTGCATTAAATAATATATAAGAATAACTTAAACAAAAATGTCGAAATTAAAATCCAGGACCACAGTTCCAGATGCTTTGATAAGGCTTCGTGTTGTCTTTTCCGGAAGTTTCTTCTTGGTCTAAGGAATAAAGATTTCATATTAATATGAAGAACATGAAAAGAAAAAAGAAAATGAAAGAGGAGGAAATCTTGAAACAAATCCTATTTCAACCCGTCTGGCCAGCGTGGTATAGTTGGCCAAAACCTCCTTTGTAAGGAGAAGCCTATATCCAGCAATAGACTACTAAAAAAATCAGTTTGTATTTTGATAGAATAAAGGATAGCGGCGTTTTCAGTGTTTTAATCGTAATTAGAACATGCTGCTTGTGAATTTTATTCTTATAGGATTCAGCATTACCATTTCTTTTATTCAACGTAGCACGGCAAAGATAAAGCAAACACTTTTAGTAACTAGTACTACGTAACAACAATTGAACCAAAGCAGCAAAATCGAGGTTATTTGACGGTGGTTTGAAAGTGTTCTTTGTCTGAAAATGATGTGAGATGAGAAGAACTATACACGTTAGCTCCGCTACATACTTTTTCTTAGATTTAATTATCAAAGTTTACTTACTAAATCAGTCTGTCTTTGAAAACGGTCAGTGTTACACGGTTGGGTCGAAACGTCAGACAATTTGAACGCATGTAGTAATATTACATGTTATCAAACGCGAAAAATTAAAAGTTAATATTATTGAATAGGGCCAGTCTGCGATTACTATTTTATTGATAGAGAGGTCGATAGAGCGAGAGAGAGTTGACAAGAAAAAATAAAGGAAACATAAATACCATATATAATGACACAGTTTGACAAAACAGAGGTTGTTGCTATTGTGTGGGTGCTGATCTACGATTTTAGAGTCTACATAAGAGACGATTTAAAACAATTTTTAATTTTTAATGAAATAACGATATATTGAATTTAAATTTGATAATCCAGATTGGTGTATTGTATTTCGTTTGTACATGTGTTAATATCAATGGAAATCACTTACTTCGTGGAAATGAGTGTTTCGGATAATTTCGGCAATAGACACAAGTGTCTTAACGGCTGCAGGTTCACATGATGCTGCACTTTTTAAAATGCAGTTCATTAGCTGGTTGGCCATATCATGAATTTGCTGCAAAATTAAAAATTCAGTTTCAATCTTATCTTAAACTGATGGTTGTGCTAATTGTAAAAGCGTATGTGGATGCTCTGAAATTTATACAGGCATTCATTGAAATTGCTTCGTATAACACCCTGATATCTTAAACTTTAATGCCATACGCACACCTTAAAGTATTTTTTTTTATATACATTACCGTAACTGAAAGTGCAATTTCCCGTCCTTGTAGAAATGATTTTTTGGAGTTTTCTGCACATGTCTTAAAATCATGACTTATGTTTTTAAGGCACTGCGGACCACCTTCCACAAAGAATTCTGAAAAAGGGTAAGTTTCAAATACAGTTTATAATCGTATTTATTTAAAATCTTCATTTGATTTTGGTATAGGTTCTTCCTCATCCATATTAACATTCGAAAGACCTACATATATCTGAATAACTGATGCCCTATGTTTATTTATTCTCTTTTATCTTTTGGCTTGACCTAATTCATCGCAAATACTTCTGGTTAAATGTCTGGGTGTAATTTATCTATAAGATGTATGTCTTTAGAAAATATAAGTATATTTATCAGCATGATATAGGCCTAGGTTGGGATCAGACTACGCTGTGTGAGATGTGTGAAGTTTTACTATTAATTAATTATGAGTCCTAAAATAATTGAACTTTCAGTTTGACACGCTCAATTTTGTTACTTAGCGTTTTCTTTGTTTACTAGAAGTAGAAGGGATTAGTTCAAATTTTGATACTACATATTTACACTTACTTGCCATTCTAAAACCATCATGCTGGCATGCGTAGTCTATGGCACCATCATAAGCAGTCTTTGTCGTAGTTCTATAATCTTCTGCGTCATCGCCAAAGCAAAGAGACACACCATATATTAGTGTATGAATACAAGTTTTCAGTAGCGGAGCTTTGGGACAATATCTAGAACAAGTAATAAGTGTATTAAATCTATACTACTGCATTATAATATCATAATGCCTCTTTAAGTAAATAAGAAGAACCAATTATATACTACAAGATATTACCACGCTTTTATTAGCTTGGTCTGTATCCATGTAACGGAATCTTTGAACTTGATTTTCACCCACGTCACGTCGGATTAAATTGAAATGTCGCATACTTATCCAGGACTGATGACAATACATGAATTTAATAAAATTTGTCCGATTATCCTGATCAGGATATTCAGGCTTTTTCCGTATCTAAAAATAGGTAGTGTCTTGTGCCACGTACTAATTTATTAAATTTAATACCGCCAGTAACTGGATATTATTAGTTGACACGTATGAAAGTCATGACAGAATACCGGAGGATATCTATGCCTCTCTATCCAGACCAGACACATTTCTTTATTCAATTTCAATTAAGCGCGTAGTGGCGTGGGAAACAAATATTTCTAAAGACCACGCTTCAAAAAAAACAAGTACTTTGATTTAACCAACGAAATAACTAAAAATGGTTTTGTCGTTGCGTTGTAAAGCTAGCCAGGTAAATTCCTCTATAATCTGCTTAAAGACCTTGTATTGCCAAGACCTTCAGTAAGCTCTTTTTTTGAACGAATATCCAAAGCGGCATTGCTAGGCTTGTATCAAATATGGTTAAGTAGAGGGTAGACACAGCAGACAGTGGAGGTGAGCGATGACGCGTCCTAAACCTATTCCCGGGTCGCAATACCCAGACACTGTCGAAGTTGCCCCCGTATATCACGTGATGGACCCGGCACTCACACGGTGAATCCATGGAACGCTAAGAAATTGGTCTTTTAGTTTTACTAATATCTATCAAATAAAATATTTATAACAATTTTCGTCTACCCATTTCTACGATAAAATATTTTTTTCTTTTTGAACTTAATAAATCATTTCCTACTTTTTACTTTGGCTAGTTACAAAATCGTGTTTTTTATTAGTATTTTAAAAGTAAATTAATTAGATACTCTGTGCACACGGATAATCACGTTTAAGACTGACTGTTAAAAATATTACACACATTGAAATAATTGCCATAAATGTATTTTTTAATACTTTGGTGTAATAACTTAGATGTTTCTCATAATTTTAATGCGCTAAAAAAGTAGGTTTAACAAGTTCAATAAGTTAGTAAGGTGTGTTTATTTTAAATAACTTACTTGTTGTAAATCCTCGGCTAGTTGTGGATAATATTAATAAAAAAGTAACGTATTAGCAGCTTTAAGCTAACGCTTAATGGTGCTCAATAGGGCTAACGCATAAACGATTAAAATTTAGAAACACTTTTTCTGGACCTTTATTTTCCTTGACATTATCATGATTTGGTATTTTTCTAGTCAATTACGGGTCGATTAAGGCTCGTTTTGCTTTCGGCCAATTTGTAGCTCCTTCGTTATTACTGTATTTGTCCACATTTCATCTGACATCCAATTATTTTTCATGTTAGTATTTTTAACCATGAAGTTTTGCACTTCGCTGGCCACTGGAGTTCTGACGAAGCAGCAGGCAGAATTCGAATTAACGATTCGAATTAACGAACGTTATGGCTCACACAGAAATTAGGGAATTCCTTAAATCTATATTTTATACTCCCAGCCCATAACTCCTTTGGGGTTTGGGGTTTGGGGGTACTCAGTTCCAACATCTACGATAACTTTATATTAAGTGAATTAATTCATTGGTCAGTGATGCCGTATATTTCAGTTATTTTGTCTTTATCCCTGATGTTTTAAATTAACGCTGTACAGAGCCACCTGCTTTCTTTCTCCAACCGGATTTAGGACCGTTAGTGGCGGAGTTAAAATCTCTTCTTTAGGTGGATTTTTATAATATTGTCTTTGTTAAGTGATTAATTTTATAAAGCATACTGTATACAACGTAAGTCAACAAGAAAAAAAAAATTACGCCTTGCCGCTTAGTGCGTTGTGTGTCTATGACTCTTGGAAAATTGTCACGTCATAGGGTTTACGTTAAATATAGTTATTAACTTTGTTTATTAACAAAGTTTAATTAGAAATCTTACTCATTCTTCTTATTTTTGGACCTACAATAACAGGTTATGGGCCCAGGTACTCTTCGTAATAAATTGAGTAAAGAGCGAAACTTAAAAAGTGAAAACAAAGCACATAGATATATACGAAATAATTTCATAAGAGATGAGGTAGAACCAAATGTCATAAATATTCAATAAGTGAATAGTTCAAGCGAACTTGCAGACTTTTCAACAAAAGTTTTACCTTCTGGTAAATTTATTCATAACAGAGATTAAGTACTGAAATTAAACTGAGGTTGTTAAGTCGTAATCATAATATCTAATATTTAATACTTATTAGGTTTAAAAATTGTTCTTTTAGTTAGGTTTAATTTTGTTGGAGGACAGTAGGTTGGTTTGAAGCTTAATTTAAGTTTAATATTGTAATAATTCTAGAACTTAAGTGGGAGTGGTAAGTGATACATTTTATAATGCATACTGTATTCAACGTGTCTTGTTATCTTTGCTTGCTAACTAAATAAAAAAAATTACTCCTTGCCGCTTGGTGCTCTGTTGTGTCTGTCTTTTGGAAAATTGTCACGTCAACGGTAAACCCTAGGTACATATAGTAAATAATAAAGTTTAATTAGAAATCTTACTTAATCTTCTTATTTTTAGACCTACAATAATAGTTTTTAATTATTTAATGGACTCCGGTTGAAATTCAACCTCTAGTCGACCACTGTTTATAATAATTACACAAGAGACAGTCTTTCTTGACTTACCTCTTAAAAATCTTAGCATAGGAATCACTGTTCTGGGCCTCTTCAAGATCTCTATCCAACATTTTAATACCAAAGCTATCCTTCATGCATGCTACAGACTGTACAACAATGGCCTGAAAATAAGAAAATATAGAAATGATGCTTCACCAGGATGTAGGTGAGTAATTAGGAATCCGTAATCTAATATTGGATATGGATACAATATTTGAATAATGCTAATATTAAATAGATTCATTTGTCGTATATATACATACTATTGTCGGATATATATGTCTATGTCTATGTCGGATATATACATACTATTTAGCTTTAAATAGTTTTGGTAACGTTTTTTTAAATTGTGGTAGTAAATACAGTACAAATATGTAAATATTATAGATAAATTACACTCGGACACAAAACAAATGATCGTGATCATCACACAATATGTTATGTCTTGGTTTCATTTCTAGTTATCAAAGTTAGAGAGCAAATCACAAAAAACAGCAATGGTTGAAACAAGTACCACGATATTGTGTACTTGCATAAGGGTCTCTCAACATGGACATTGCCGGGCTCAACATGCTTCCCAAAACGAACTAACAAAATCATACAAAAACAACGTCTTCTATTAAAACAATGCTAGATACAGCCAAGGTATATTAGTAATCACTAAATAGTTGGCAAATACCACATAATAATTAAGCACAAAAATTAAACAACGAACCTGGACATCCTTAAAGGATACTCCATTCTTTTCGCACAGATTCTGAAGCTTGTTACTCATATCATCATCTGACCTGTCTGAAACAATTATTTTTTTTTTGTTTTAAATACTATCCACCAAATCCAAATACTTCCTGCTCGCTGATCATTCCTAGCTTTTTATTTTACGATAAATGTTTTTGTCTTTACCTGTAGAGCACATGAGATTTTTTTTGGCTTTTATAAAATATAAAAGGTGTAGTGATCACAAGTAGGCTCTCGTTCTACAATCTTTTTAAATGTAAATAAAATTAATCATGGTTTTTATTTAAATTAACCCAAACTCACACTATCTTGATTTCATAAAAAAATCTAATTGTTTAAAATCGTCTTTTATGTAGACTCTAGAGCCAAACAAAGAATAGCAACAATCTATGTTTTGTCAAATATTTAGAAAAATCAATATAATACAATTATACCTATCCAAAATCTATAAATTGACTGTGGCGATCTACAACCGCCCGTCACCAAGGGGTTGAGCCTTGTGAAAAGATAAGGCAAAGACTTCTTTTTAATTGACAGATAGATACAATGGCATCATTAAATAAACCATAACATTGTTTTGATGTGTACCAGTATGTCCGTTATTAAGGATTAAAGATAAAAGACAATGAAGAGAAACAAGATAAATAAAAACGATGGAATAGAAATAAAAGTGAAGTAAAACATAAAATAATTGAAAAAATAAATAAAAAACATATTAGATTACACTCCATTTCCACTTAAGAAATAGCCTGTGCTAAATTAAGCATTTATTAGCCTATGCATTCTTGTCTTCTATGTAATCCAAAATTGAGTAATAGGCTTTTTGATATATTTTTTTTGCGGATTTAAATTTGTTTATACTTGGTATCCAAAAAGTATGGTTCACTTAATTTTTTACTCGTTTATATTTTTAATTGCACTACTCTTTAGTTTTATACGCTATACGATATGTGGTGCAATGTAGATGGTACAATACTGGAATGTAACATGCAATGCCTTCGATTCTAAGTCCGATAGCAGTTTATTTTCTCGACAACCAAGTTTATTATAATGCTATATCACAGATATCGATCGATTTTCTTTTTAAAATCTGATCGACAGACCTTTTTTCCCGAACATGTAGATAGAGTGATATTCCATAATTTATGACATAAAATTACGATTAAAACGATTACATATTTCACACGAGTCGTGTTATTTACATTTAAAGATCGACCATCGTTATTAGAAGACGCTTTATTGAATTCATTTATGACCATCAGAAGTCTATATATATTGTAGCCTAATACTAATACCTGAAACATTCTGTGTGCCATTGAGTGGATCCAATACTGGCTTAGTGGTAAAGTTTTTGGATAGTTTTAATACCTGAAAAAAAATCATAAACTTCAAACAACATTTTTATGTCACTTGCCGACATCATTTGGTTTCACACCGACTCCAAAGTCTCAAAAGGTTCTCAATTTTCATGCAACCAAATGGGGAGTATAAGTAAGTAGTAAGTAAGTAAAGCAAAATACCACCCGAAAGGGTCAAAAAATTAAGTAATTAAGAATAGAGTTTTTACAATTCGTCAAGAAATGGATACCATGATGTCGATCATGCTTTTTTAAAAGTTTATCATTAACATAAAAATATAAAAAGGTTCGGCATATTTCATGTATCTCAAAAAAAAAAACACTTACTAGTTTCGATACACTTTGGTGGATTGTGTCTGCGATTTTCTTAAAAACCTTAGACGATATCGAGTTATTACACGTCTCCAGATTTTGAAGAACACAAGATAGACTGTCTTGATATATGCGATTATTGCTCTGTTAATACAAAAGATAACAATGAGATACCTATGTGATCTTTACACTAAAAGAGTAGCCTGCTATAATTATTCTGTTTATTTTATTTAAAATATATAGAATGTTTACATTATAGTATGGTTGGCATATCTGTTGACTGCGTCAAAGCTATTATAGTATACTTAAGATGATTATTTATTTTCGACTTCATTTGCCCTTTTAATCTTAATGAAAATCTATACTAATATTATAAAGCTGAAGAGTTTGTTTGTTTGTTTGTTTGTTTGTTTGTTTGAACGCTCTAATCTCAGGAACTACTGGTCCGATTTGAAAAATTCTTTCAGTGTTAGAGAGCCCATTTATCGAGGAAGGCTATAGGCTATATATCATCACGCTAAGACCAATAGGAGCGGAGCACCAATGAAGAATGTTTCAAAAACTGAGAAAATTTATTACTATTGAGAGACGCAGACGAAGTTGCGCGGGTCAGCTAGTATAAGATATAGAAACTGATGTACCTAACAAGTTAAACAATTCCTATGCTAAACACCAAACCTATAATCTTTTTTTTTTAAGTAATTATAGGTAACACAAATTATTTACCTACTTAGATAATAGATCTAAGTAGGTAAATAATTTGTGTTTTGTGATTTGTGTCTTGATCTTATATCGCTCTGTAGAATGAACTTTATAATGCTGGTGCGCGTGCAAAACGAGCGTTTATAGTACAATGACAACACAGACGAAGTATACAGCGAAGAGGAACTTAGGCCAACAGTTGGACACTATTTTTTTTACACTTTACAACTTAGCTCTAGACATATTTATAATCTGTGCTTGTTTCTAAGAAAAGTAAAAATAAAGCTATAACAGAGATGTAAAATGGCAACCGAAATATAGGACAAGACAAGGAGTATCATACAGATTTTATTATATTATTAACATAAATGTTACTTAGTTCGAATTTTTGTTTAGTGCTTTTAATCTTTATGATTACCAGTTGGATATTAATATCGGAAAAAGAAAAAACATCAAAGTAATATAAAGCAGTTGAACAGTAGTAAGACAATATTTAAATGCGGAATCGTTAAAGGCTTTCATTAAGGTTTTCTTTGTGTATTTACAAATTCTTGTCTATTTGTTCTTGATTATTACAACTTACAGCTTCTGAAGCAGTCATATTTATATCCTTGTATGTAGTAGCTTTGAGAAAATTTACCGCACACGCAATAATCTCATTGGTCTTGCCCTGTAAGCATTGTGGGCCACCCTCAGTGCTGAATCCTGAGAATCAAAACAATCATCAGTAAATTTATAAGACCTACATAGTACTCGGTTGCATACTGCAGGGAACGGGCCAGGTACTGCAAGCACTCAGGCACCGGAGGTTGCTAAAAGACCTCCGTCCTTCATAAGCGCATGCCTGGGTGTGACAGGTGAGGTCATCTGTCACCCTAGCACCCTAGCAGAAGCAGCCCGGGGCGGGGACGCGATGCGTTGCGGAGCGCGCACGCGTTTAGGGGATAGGAAGAGAACACGGTGGCTCCCACTCACGAGGAGTCATCTACAAGTCGTAGATGCCCCGGGGTTAGTCGTGGTACCAGGGATTTGTCACACCTGTTTCTTCGGCTACTGGTACCGGAAATACCGTGCGGTTGAACTCGATTCGACTCCGACATAACCATCCCACCGACCGTCCGGTGGGTGGTATTTGAGAGATTTTCCGCACTCAAACAAGGGGTTAATTACAGATGCTGCTACAATAATAGAGTACCTATTTGAAAGGTGATGTGGAAAGATGCATGTAAATATATTAAACTAAAAAATCATCTAAATTATAAAAACCCCATTTAAAATAAAACAGATCATAATTACAATACGATTATGTAATTATGATCACTGGTATTGTGAGCATTGTGGTATTGTGGTACAATATTATGAGTATTCACCCTAAAATCATTAATAAGAAAGCCATCAAAGTTATTAGCCATACTTTTTAACACTTACTTGACATTATAGCACCATCATCTTCACACAGAAAGTCTAAGATTTGGTTCATAATATTTTTAGTCGTCGATATCAACAGTTCGCTCGCGTTGCCTACACAAGGAGATACGGCATCCATTAGTGTCTGATAACAAACTTTCAGCTGTGGAATCTTGGCACAATACCTAGAAAAAAAATATATTTAAGGATAAAAACAACTTTCAATTAAAATTAGTTTAATGAAAATAAATATATTGGACTCTCGGAAACAAAATTCTATAGACTATTTTTTCATTTTATTTTTAAGTAACCCTTCTATTCTATTTATTGGAGTTCCATGTCCGATGGCTTGCTTATGTCCTACTTTGTTCACGCAAAGGCATACTACCAGATATCATGTCATAGTGAAAAAATGAGGATTTTAATACTTTTTTTCACTAGCTTTATTTTCTTTATCGTTTTGATAATATAGTGAGGAGAACAACTTCACAAGAAATGTTACGACATTTCCATTGCCAGTTTACTTTGAAACTTTAAAATACCCTACAGCGGTCCGCAAACAAATTCTTAAGAATTTCTTACTACTACTTCTTAAAGAGTACTTACTTCTTAAAGAGTTCGTTATAGGAATCCTTATATTGAGCTTCCGTAAATTCTCTTTCAAACGTTTTCATTCCGAAGTTGACTTCTGTGCATTCTAAATGGTTAGCACTGGCGATCTGAAAAAAAAACTATTTATGTTCGATCTACAAAGAACTAATAACCAAAAGTTTATGTATCCAAAAATATATATTCTAAATTGTATCAAACTATCATGGCCATTTCTACTTGATAAATTATTGAAGCATGAAGCATTTAAGCTGTACATGTGGCGTAGTGGTTTAAGCGGTCACCTCGCCGCTTCTTACAGCACTGAGTGTTGTGGGTACGATCCCTACATGGCTGTCCCATGTGGGGGCGGAACTTGTGTGATTCACAAATTGTTGTCCTGAGTCTCGGTTTTCTTTGTGTCCGTTTCATGTATGCCTGTAAAGGCTCCCGCGACACAGGATATATTGTTAGTGCGGAAATCGTCTTAAAAAACCTTGGTAACTATCCTGCTGCCAATAACTTATTAAGTATGTATTCGTTCTTCAAACTCAAACTACTATCTTTATTTCATAAAAAAATAATTGAAATCGTCTCTTGTGTAGACTCTAAAGCCATAGATCAACACACACAATCTATGTTTTCTCAAATGTTTAGCAAACTAAATTTATACTTATCGAAAATCTCTTATATGCCTATTTCCAAGGGGTTGAGCCGTAAGAGAAGAAAGAACAAACAAACTCACAAAACTCTTTTTTAATTAACAGATATATACAATGGCATCATTAAATATACACAACATTATATGTTTTGCTGTTTGCCAGTAAGTAAATTTTAAGGATAAAAACGTAAAAAGGCAATGAAGAAAAACAAGATATAAAAAAAGATGGAAAAAAAAAAGAAAGTGAAGTAAAACATAAAAAAAATGGTAAATTAAACACACTAGCCCACATCACATTTTCGCTACGAAATAGCCTGTGTAATTTATTAATTTAGTTAATAAATTTTATGCCAACCATTCTTGTCTTCTATGTAATCTAGAATTGAGTAATAGGCTTTCTGAGATAGTTTAAATCTTGTATACTATTTGAGATTTTATTATAACATCAAATCAAAAAATAAAAATTTATATATACATATTGACTTGCCCCTGGCGTTATGATTATTTCTTTAAACTCGCTCTCTTTTGCTGCTGCAAGTAAGTACGACATTATGCTATGAAAATAACTGAAGTAAATAAAAAATCACTGTATCAATATCAGTCAATTCTCGAAATTTTTCTTACTGCATACATACAATCTTAATACATACAACCTTATTTCGAATTGTAAATGCAAAGGTGATTTTTGTAGGTTTGTTTATTCTTAAAATTTTGTTTTCTGGTTTAAATACGGCTTTGAAAGCCTCCGAAGCTTGGGGAAAAGGCTACTAAGTAAAGTAAGTAATAATTTATTTTCATCACGATCATTTTATGCAACATTATGTCTCTCTGCCTTTTCACAGGAGTCCTGGTGATAGGTACTAGGAACTGATTAACAATAAATTGTAATGTTAAATAGCTAACCTCAAGAATACTGTCGTTGACGCCGTTTTGTTCGCACATCAAAGAAAACATGTCATTCCGCACTGACGATGAAGACTGGTTTACAAGACGGTAGCCTTCCGCCATCACCGCTGAAAAAAATCAGAAAAAAAAACTGAGTAACTACCTCCAAAAACAAACAATACACTTATAATAACTATTAAACTTTTGCGTTCTATGATATCCATGTAGTGACGTATTAGAATACGGAATTTCACCACCCCTATTCATCCCGTGGGTGTCGTAATAGCACTGAAAACAGAAGGAAAACTTGACAAAAACCCTATACCAACTCGTCCGACCAGCGTTGTATAGTAGGCCGAAACCTCCTTTCTTAGAGAGGCCTATGTCTAGCAGTGGACTATTAAAGGCCGTTGTTGATGATAATGATGATGTTCCATAATATCTTATTAAGTATATAACCGAGAACACAACAAAACACAAAAAATACTCAATTCAAATGTAAATTCATTCATTAATTTCATTTAAATAAAACCAAAATTCTACAAACATAAATACTCATGGCTATAGATAATATAAGACTCGCTTTTATAACTTACCTAAAGCCAACACAGATAAAATGATCATTATCACTGTGAAATTTTAATACAAATGTAACTGAAACAATACATTTTCCCATTAAATACACATTTCATAGCAGGAAAAATAGTCTTGAATTATTTTAAGAATATTTTATTAACATTGATTTTAAAGTATAATATATGTTATATAAATATATATATTAATAGTTATATTAAGCAAATAAAATGGAATACTTAATGTTTATACATATGTAAAAGAAGTGCAGAAAGCTAAAATGTGTCAAGAACTGACCCGATAATCGAACCCACTAAGGCAACTTTTTCAAAAGTCGCAGGTACCAGCTAGTATTAAATAAAAATATTCAAAGTGTCAAAATATTACATTAAAAATAATGTAATATAATGTATTCTATCTCATTCTCTCGCCGACTTAATCATATACATTTATGTGTTTTTTCTTTATCGTGACGCATTTTCGTTTCATCGAGCTTCAAATCACAACGATTCTATAGACGCGTTTTCACTTCAAAAACACTTTTCAAAATTCCATTCTAAATTTTTTAATGGGTCATAATGTGGGCGATGGTTTCAGTTGCAGTCAGATTTCATTCAATTCAGACTAGAATTGAAAAAACATGTTGTTTGAACTTCTGACACCCCGACTACTTGTGTTAGTACCTAAGCACTTATATCTTTACTGTACTCCTACAGCGTTTAACATTATTAAAGTATACTTGAAGTCGTGTTTACTTTAAGACCAAACCTTCATATTTCGACCCTGCCATTCGACACAATCGTCATCGACTGCAGAGTGTCCAGTCACCTGCAAAATTGTAATTGTAACGATATTATATTGTCATTTTTTATTTATCACGTTGCACATGTGCATTTTTTGCAGATTTAATTAAAGATATGCATACAATTTTACTTCCTAAAAAATCAGATGCAGTGATCCATAGCAAGCTGTACAATGCTATGCAGAATGACAGGAGCTTTAAGGACTATGCTAAGGAATGAGAGCAATTATTTGTCAATTTGATTATGACTCAGGACAATGGAGATTACAATGCATACCAAACTTTAAAACCTATAAACGAATGAATAGTGATAAAAAGATTTTATGATGGTCTTCGTAACAGTCGCCTTAGCACAATTATTGTTGCTAGGAATTATAGCACCTTGAAGGATACAATCCAGGGCGCATTAGATCGAAGGGTCTCAGGCGGTGGTGAAGAACAAGTGATGAATTATCATTGGGTATATATAATATAGGTAAATACGTAAGTCTGATCGCTTACAGCGTGCTAATTATCGCAATAATTTTAACTTACCCACTGTGAAGGCATTTCGGTTTTTTAATAATCGTGGGCGTATTTATAACAATGGTTAGAATCGTACATGTTGTTTTGATAGTTCGGTTAATTATGGTGGCAGTATTCCTGGCCAAACGAGTTACGTCGTCCTTACCGACAACAACAGATAAACGTAGCCCAGTTAAACGCTAGGGAAAACACTGAAATAAGGACAGAATCGGAAAATGATAACTTGTTTGTCCGTGCATGTTCATTATTATTAAAAAAGTTAATGCTATTAATTGAGGTTTATTTAAAGTATCGCACAGCTGTTTAATACAGTACTTAATACCGCCGCATCTTTATCTGTAGTAAGACAAGAACTTTTAATAAAATTAAAATAAATGTTATATTCGGCCAAGTATATTGTGACAGTTTTGTTTCTCTTAAATTAACATTAAAAAATGATTTACTTATTTAAGAACTTTAGATATAGAATATATGGTATTTTAGGACAAGATTTTCTAAGTAGATTTAAGTGTATGCTTGATTTTGAGTAAAATATACTAACCAATAAACATGATACACCTCTTGTAATATCCTCACAAATGGGTCAGCTGGTTAAGAATAATTATATAGCAATACCGGCACGATGTGAAATTACATATTTAGTACCAACACACTTACAAGACGAAAAGGTAGTGCCTATGCAGTTAAGCGAAGGTGAATCTTTTGCATCGGTTTTAGCAAAGCCTAAAAATAGCAAAATTCCTCTAAAATTTCTGAATACCAGAGAGACAGATTTTTTGAGCTATTTTAGGTACCCCTGATGTTTCGTCATTAAATGATTACATGTTATGTTCTTTTACAAAGAATAGCATTCCACGGCGCTTACGATCCTTTTATCACTAACTGCAATTCTACGAATTTTGACAGCAGTGGATGCATGTTTGTGTTGTAACGTTGTTTTGCGAAGTATAAATACCGACATAGCATAAAAATGATGTGCGACAAATGTCTTAAAATAACGAAAACTTACATATGTTGTGCGGCAATAAGCTGCAAGAAAATCTACTGTGGCGTATGTGTAGATCCAACTAAAATCTCCAAAAATACCTGGATGTGTTCTGCTTGTAAAACTCATTAACTCTATGCGCATCCGTCGCACAATAACAAACAGAGATAAGTATTCGTTCTCAAAATACCTAAGAAGCGAGCTTGAAATATCAGGAATACTAGAAACACCAAATGAAAGCCTTGGTCACATGGCCCTGCTAGTGGCCAAAAGCAAAATTGGTGTAGAGCTGAGTGACAATGAAATCGATTGGATAGAGAGAGTCAGACCTAAACGACCGCCCCCAGAGATAAACCAAAGTAAACCTGAACAAAAGCTACCTCGACCGGTCGTCGTCCGTTTACAACGCAGGGACAAACGTGATCTAATTCTGAAAGCTGCAAAGACAAGGCGCAATCTCACCACCACCGACTTGGAATTAAATGGACCAGATCTAAAGGTATTCTTTAATGAACGTCTTACAAAAGAGAACCGCAACTTATTTCGTGCCGCATTAAATCCAAAGAACTGGGCTTCGCACAATGTTTCGTCAGTAATGGCGCCATCTATATCAGGAAATTTAATGGGAAACCAGGAACGTACATCCTGAGCTTTAACGACCTCGAAGGTATTACCGCCTAAAATGATAATAATTACCAAGGTCAAATTAATAAGTAGACACACCTCTTGTGATTACGTTATTTGTGCTATGTTTTGCGTGATTGTTGTTGCTGCTAAGTTTGTAATCTTACTCTGTGTCATAACAATCCTAAATGCAATAGCAAAGCTTACTAAAATAAGCCTATATTATCTTATACGTATGTATAATACAGCAATGATTAATATAATTTCAATAACAATTTTTTGGCAGTTAATACTATGTCATATCGTAAAAATATAACATTATTTATCCTTACAAACAATATTATTTTATATTACTATATTTAAAAAGTTTTTGCTAACGAGTGTTAATATTGGTTACAATATATGTATGTAATTAACATATTTTTCCTCATATGGCGTCTCAAAACCAGTGTCCCATAAATTTGTTTTAAACTCAATCGATGAAATTAAGAACCAAAGCATACTTATTCGCATAGCTATCTGCACCCTAACTTTTGGCAATCAGTATTACCTTACTTTCTTAAAATATTTACTTAAGATTTTATCTTCAGTTTATTATAGCTATGCCTCATATAGGCGAAGATCTGGATTCATTTGAAATTGATTGCCATTTGATTAATGAGGCAGAACAATATGAAGTGATATTAACACACTCTTATAATCTTAAGATACTTACTCTAAATATTAGGAGTATTACAAAAAACTTTGACAATCTACTCATTGCCATCAAGCGTATGCGAGTCAACTTAGATATACTGTGCTTAATGGAATACTGGTTAAACGACAATACCACAGTTCCACAAATTCCTGGGTACACTTCTTACAATACTACTAAATTTTCTAACCAAAATGGAGGTGTGGTAGTCAACGTCAGGGACTTGTGGAACGCTGTAAGCAAAGAACCCATTCTCGAAGACGCCAATAGTGTTATTATAGAAATACCCAATGTTGTTACAATTTTTGCAGTATATCGTTCGCCATCCTGCAGAAGAGCTGATAACTTCCTAAATTCGTTGGATACCAATCTTGCATTATACGACGACAGACGACCATTCATTTTGACAGGTGACATAAATATAAATATCGGAAACATGTCTGACTGAAACGTGTCTTTTGGCAGAGGTTCTTCAATACTAGACCACTTTTTCGTAAGAACTAAAGACCCAGTAAAAGGTATCGTATGTTAATTAGACCTTACAGACCATGACCCTATCTTGCTAGGAATCAATAGATCTAAAATTCTCACTGTTCGTCCTAATCGCGTTGTTCTAAGGACGGATACTATGGCAATCGGAAATAGTCTGAAAAAAATAAACTAGACAGAACAATTAGACCAAACCGACGTTGATAAGACTGTAAAGGTATTTATGGACACACTTCTAAGAATCGTAGACAAACACACTTATAAAATTAAGAAACTAGATATAAGAGAACTAAATATAACTTAAAACCATGGGTAACCCCTGGCCTAATGCGCTGCATGCGGCACAAAGATCGATTACACTTACGTGCAAAAAATAACCCTAATGACCCTCTAGCTCAACTAATCTACACCAGATACCGTAATAATTTTGTGGAATTAATGAGGAAGGCTAAGAATGACTATGATAACAAGACACACTCAACACTCAAAGGACAACCTAAAAAGCTGTGGAAGACTATTAAATAAATATGGCATATCTCCACTAAGAATTCAGAACCCAATAAATTGCTCTCCCTTCCTGGAACGAACTATCGGAAACAATGTCTGAACTTATGCAATGATCACTTCTCCACAGTCGGACAAAATTATTGATCAATAACACAGATGAGAATATACTAGCTGCTAATACAACAACTATAGACCCCCACCTAACTCTTGCTTTCTCGAACCTACAGAAGTGGAAGCTATGATTGTTAATCTTGATAACGATAAAGCCCGTAGTATCGACAATCTAAGCAATAGTCTGGTTAAAGTTACTCGTATAAGAAATTGTATAATTGAACCACTTACCGCTATTTTTAATATGAGCATAACTACAGGGAGATTCTCCAGTGACTGGAAAACAGCTGTGGTTTGCCCAATTTTTAAAGCCGGTGATGCATACTCTAAAGAAAATTACCGCCCAATCTCGCTGCTAGGATTCTTCCCAAAACTTTTAGAGAAAATAATAAACAAGAGACTTACCTTGAAGAGAAAAAAATAATCTCAGCACATCAGTTTGGTTTTCGTCATGGTAGATCCACCAATGACGCGCTAACTAAGCTGACTTCTTTTGTAGTTTCTCATCTCGATAAGTCTGAGAACTGTATTGGTGTCTTCTTAGATCTGGCAAAAGCCCTTGATACTGTGTCCGTGCCGATACTATTAAAGAAACTGAAAAACAAAGGTATTAGAGGCGTTCCTTTAAAATGGTTTAAAAGTTACCTGACGTCACGGAGACAGTGTGTAAGAGTTACTGGCCAACTCAGTGACACCAGAAATATAATTAAGGTGTGCCACAAGGCAGTTTGTTAGGACCCCTTAGCGAACTGGCTTAACATCAACCTTCTGACGCTTAATTTAAAAAAAAACAAATTTATGTGCTTCCATAAAACTGCTACCTCTGCTCCACATATTTCATGCAAACTAAAACTACACACATATCATAATTCATCCTCCACTACATGCACTTGTAGTTACATCGATAGAACTCCTGAAATTAAATACCTTGGTGTCATGGTAGACCAAAAACTTAACTTACAAACCCGCATTAACTCCCTTTCAAACAGAGTAAGAAAAACAATAAATATAATGAGACAACTCAGACACGCCGCCTCTCCAGAAACACTTAAAATTACTTAACTTGCACTGTGTCAAACGCTTCTTACCTATTGCATATGCAGTTGGGGCGGAACAGCCAAGTCACACATGATTCCATTGGAGAGAGCACATCGCGCTGTATTAAAAACAATGCTCAAAAAGCCCAGACTATACCCAATCACTACACTCTATGAGGAAACTCAACTTTTAAGTGTCCGCAAACTTTTTATATACCATACCATATTACTTGTGCAGAAAACAGTTATTTCATCCCCGGAATATAACAATATGACCAGACGTCGCCTCTTTAGACTACATGTACCTGCTTGTCGCACTAAATTTGCTCAACGCTTTTATCTATTTTTATCAGCCCACATTTATTATATTACTTCCAAATTCTGTAAAATTCTTCTGAATACAGTACCAGAGACAAAAATAAAAACTTATGAATGGTTAAGTAAACTCACATATGAAGAAACAGAAAAGTTATTAACTACTACAGCATTAAACATATTCAGTTCACATATATATTCAGTTATTTATAATATTTAGAAGTATATTTTATTAATAGTATTCCCTTTGGGTTATATTTATATATGATTTATATATGGGATTATATATATTATGATATAATTTGTACCTAATTTTAAGCATAATTTTTAAGCATTTATTTTTGTTGAATTGTCTAATATGTTTAAAATTGTGAATTGCAGGAGCTCTATACCTTAATGTAAATACGTTTGGCTGGGACCCCACGATACAGGCTTGCCTAGTGTGGGGACCGCGTTTAATATTTATCTGATAAGATCTGCTACACTAATTTTATGTCTTGTTAAGCACTCCTGTAATTTATTTTCTTTGTGTTTCTAAATAAATATTTTTTCAATTTCATTTTTTCATTCTAAACACGTGATTTTATATTTTAAATTTGGAACACTTATATAAAGAAGAGCAGATTTCGATTGAAAACATTTGTGTTTGTGTTATTACCCGTTGATAATTTAATCAGTCCTTCATTTATTTCGTAAAACACACTTAAGTTCGGATGTTTTAAGAGATCGCCATGTTTCGCCAATAGGCATACAAAACGATAAAAGTAATTCATTATTCCTGGTCCTATACAACTGTTTGAAGTCCTGTAATCACATAAGTACTTATTAAATTGAATACAAATAGACGTTGATTTGATTTCTAAATTAAATAGTATATTGATAAATGACGATTGATTGGAAAAAATGTTAAAATATTGAAAAAGATGTGCCTGTGCCTGTGTGAAGCAAAGCTTACAAATAAAAAGGTAATGGTAACTGGTTGAGGGTCTCTTCATGGTGTTATTTACAATAGCTTTCTCAGGTCTGGTCAGGCAATAACAGCAGATGTCTACTGTGACGAACTTCGAACAATGATGGCGAAACTGGTAGTGAAACAGCCCCGACCGTGAATCGATTTTAACCATTATTGCTTCATGATAACGCAAGACCTCACACTGCACGAAAAACCACTGTAACTCATCATTGAGGTTGCTTTTAATGCAAGATATATGTATCACAAGCCTCACATTCTTTATTGCCTAGCCGAGTAAAGGATATACTCATGGATTTTATATGCTGCCTGTATAGTTCGCACGACACTCTTTGGTTGGGATAAGTTTTATTAAAATGTCTTTGCATTTGGGCTATATTGATATCGCTTCCTAAGTTGCTATGACACAAAAGAGCACGTTCAGGTCTATAATGATCTTCTGAAGGATTGAATGATTCATCGTGCTGGGTAAGTAAATTCCGATCATAGGCAGCTGTTTTTTTATGTTTTCCTCGCTTATCCTCTGTAGAATTTGTAATATTACTGGACAACATCCTGTCGTTTCTTTTTACATAGCCTAGAGTGTTCAAAAATATTATTTGCATACCGCAATCCGAGTATCGTCCTGTTTTTTAAAATGTATAAACTCTTTTTGGGTTCGGTGGTATACTTCCTTTTAGGGACTGCTACTGATGTATTTGAGTCGACGAATGAATGCTGCTCTTGTCAAGTCATATTCCAATACATTTCATTAATGTGTTCTCACTCTTTTTGGTGTAATTTTTAAACTGCATTGCTTAAGTCAATCATCACTGCATCCCATTTTAACAGTGGGTTTATTTTTCTTTTATTTTAAGCATCAATGTTTTGCTGACGTAAAGAAGTGGCATTATACATATTTTACGTTTTGATGACATTTGTGTTGTTACAGGCTGAAATATATTTGTTTCTAGTTCATGTTCTGTAAATTGTATTTGAGTAGTACTAAAAGCAGTGGAGATTGTGTCAATGGTATTCCTCCGTCGACTATCGTCGATGTCTTCATCATCAACAGCCTTTAATAGTCCACTGCTGGGCATAGGCCTCTCCTTAGAAAGGAGGTTTTGGGCTACTATACCACGCTGGCCAGACGGGTTGGTATAGGGTTTGTGTCAAGTTTTCGGGCGGGGCGTTCGACAGTCAACGCTGTGTTGCGCCCTCAGGCGTCTTCGGTCACGGCCCTCAGGCCACGGCCCTCACGGCCGTGAGCTGTGGCGGCGTGCTGTTGGCGGTGTCATTGGACATCGCCAACGCATTCAATAGTCTGCCATTCAGCTGCATCAGGGAAGCACTCCACTATCATGGGGTGCCAAAGTACCTGAGGCGGCTAGTGGCAGACTATTTAGAGGAGCGTACCGTCGTGTACGAGGACCGAGAGGGTAATTTGAGGTGTCGGCCCATGTCGTGCGGTGTTCCACAGGGGTCTGTTCTTGGACCCCTCTCGTGGAACATAGGGTACGACTGGGCCCTTCGAGCCGATTTCCCCCCCGGGCTGGGTGTAATTTGTTACGCAGATGATACTCTGGTGACAGCCCGGGGGGCGAACTTCCAAGAGGCGGCGCGCCTGGCCACAAGGGGAGTCTCCCTGGTGGTCGGGCGCATTGAGGCGCTGGGCTTACGGGTGGCCCTAGATAAGACGGAGGCCCTGTTATTTCATGGGCCCCGTCGTGGTCCACCCCCTGGCGCCTCAATCGTGGTCAACTCGGTCGTCGTACCGGTTCGGGCCCAGATGAAATATCTGGGCCTGATCCTCGACGGGAGGTGGCTCTTCGACTAGCACTTCCGACAGCTTGCTCCAAAGCTGGTCGGCGCTGCGTCTGCCCTAGGGCGACTTTTGCCCAATTTGGGTGGACCCAGCGTCGCGACAAGACGGCTGTACACGGGGGTTGTCCGGTCAATGGCACTATACGGTGCACCGGTGTGGGCGGCGGCTCTGACCGACCAGAATAGGGTACGCCTCTGGCGCCCTCAGAGGGTAATGGCGGTCAGAGCCATACGCGGTTACCGCACCGTGTCGACGGAGGTGGCGTGCGCGTTGGCCGGAACTCCCCCGTGGGATTTGGAGGCGGAAGTGCTCGCCGAAGTTTATCGGCAAGTGGCTGACTCCCGGGCGGAGAGCGGATTTCGCCCTCCGCCCGAGGATGTGCTCGAGTGGCGCGAAGCCGCTCGCCGAGCCACGATGGCTCGTTGGTCGTTCCGGCTGCATACTCCACGCGCTGGCTTCGCCGCCGTGGAGGCTCTCCAGCCGGTCATCGCCGAGTGTGCAGGGCGGCAGCACGGGACCCTTATCTTCCGGCTGACGAGGGTGCTTTCAGGGCACGGTTGCTTCGGAAAGTACCTGCACTTGGTCGCTAGGAGGGAACTGAGTCCCGCCTGCCACCACTGCGACTGCAGTGAGGACTCGGCCCAGCACACGCTGGCGGTCTGCCCCGCATGGGCGACGCAGCGCCGGGCCCGCACTGCAGTCATCGGAGTGGATCTCTCGCTACCGGCCGTAGTACGCTCCATGGCCGGTAGCGACAGTTGTTTTACCGCGGTCGCAACCTTCCCCTCCACCCGCATTAGTTGGGCGGCGTCCGCGTGTGCCGGACGTCGCCTAAAGAGAGGAAAATTTTGAGACGGAGCCCGCACCAGGAGCGGGCTGGCGCTAGGAGGGGTCCGGATGTCTTAATAACAGCTGTTCCCGGATCCCTCCTGTTACAGGCGCAGAGTGGCACACCGTGTGGTTTTAGTCGGTCCGAGTCCGACACACCACCCCGCCGCAAACCCCGGTGGGGTGACGGTCCGAGGGGATTTCCACACGTTAAAAAAAAATAAAAAAAATAAGGGTTTGTGTCAAGTTTTCCTTCTCTCTGCAGTGTTGTTGTCCTGCTTAATTTGCTCCCTTAGTCGACTCTTACGACATCCACGGGATGAATAGGGGTGGAGACAGTCTGTATTATTAATCCGTCACCACACGGATGTCGTCGATGTAGCTTTCTTATACTGACTACAATTTAATGAACTTCTCTGAAATACGCAAGGAAGAGTGTTAGTAAAATTTGGAATATTTTTAGTCGTAACTTGAGTTGATGTAACAGAACGTGAGCTTTTTTTCATTGAATTTGTTTTCTTTTGTAAGAGTTTGGGCGGTTGATTGTCGCCGGTAACTACATAAATATTACAATCTCCAGAGTCGCCACTTGACGCAGACAGGTAATAATTTTTATCACGCGCAGAATCGTCAGAATCAAAATCAATTGGTGTCTCTAATCTACCTCGGAAAAAGTTGTTCTAAGTGTGGTCACTGTTTTGTGTAAATTATGTGCCTGTTATAAGAAGTCCTTTATTTGTGTTTCGCAGAATGTTTGGAACACAGGTGACATCAAGTAGTAGGGTCTTGTACATCCGACATGCCACCGACAGGTGGTATCCGAGGGGATTTCCGCACGGAAAAAAAAGGGTCTTGTACATAGTTTGTTTATATAGTCTTGCGTTTTCTAGGCGAAATACGACAGATCAATGCTTCGAGAGCAGTTATCGGTAATTTAATGTGGGATAGCCGCATTTTAGTGTTGCAATCCAGCTTAAATAATATTGCCCTTTTTTTTAAAACGCCGTGAATGTCTTGTTCAATATGTAAAATCCCCCAAAATATATGTGACATAAAACGCTAAAATGCAGTGTGAAAGTAGTAGTAAGTAGTAGCAGTGTAAAAGTGATTTTAACCGCATTTATGTGTAGAATTTTTATTTAACGGCTTAATAGCGTTCGAGTAGCTACATTCTTAATAACAGAATGCTAATCTACAAAAAAGTTAAAGTGTGTAAACGACTGTATTGAGTACAAAAATCAGTTAACTACAATTTAGTTGTTACATAAAAATTACAACGGAAAAATAACAAGGGCTCTTAGCCGCTTTTTAGGTTTCTAAATATAGTAAACTGCGTTTGCGTTTGTAACACATATGAAAAAAGAATGATATAACGGCATTTTAACTATATTTATCTTGAGAACAAAAATAGATAAAAATAAACCATAAATACAGATCGATAGAGCTTTTTTTCTGATTAAGATTTTAAAAACTAAATATCGACCTGATCTGCGTTAACGGCATTACAGTCTATGCAAGGCAGTATTGCTAAATATATGCAGGATTCATAGATTGCAAAAAAAAGAATCTCATTAAAGGTCTTAAAGAATCCTGAACTTAGTCGTTTGGCTCTCTTATAAAATTTCATAATTGTTTTGTAACGGCTTTACTTTAAGGTGCGATTTGATAAATATCGAGCCACATCCAGTGGGTGAACGCAAAAAGCTCATAGTTCTGTGGTACGTTCAACTCACGTATTGTATGACAGAGTTGGGATGTTGTTGCGTTATTCTATTTATTTTAAAAATTGAGTAATGGTTAGGTTATTATACTCGGAAGACGCTCCACCATGTTAAAAATACCAGTAGTAGTAATCGTTTGAGCTTTTGATTAAACACCAATATCCGGAAACAAGTCGGATTTAAAAAAAAAAATACTCTGAATAGTACAATTCTTCAGAAATGTTACAGGCCATTAGCGCGTAGGTACTAACGGAACAATAATTGTAAGCCCGTTTAAAATTACGGTACTTGCCTGGCATGTTATTTTATCAACGTACATATAAATAAAACTTCCTTCCTTTATAACATTATAAATAAGTAGGTATACATTTGTATTTGTTCTTTATATATTCAATATAATCCATACTTGTAATCATAAATGTAAAAGTGAGTTTGTTTGTTTTTTTTTGCTTTTTTTATGTTAGAGGGGGCAGACAAGCAGATGGGTCACCTGATGGAAAGTGACCATCTCCACCCATGAACGTCTGCAACTCAGGAGTCACAAACGCGTTGCCGGCCTTTTAGCTTGTTGCGCTTTCACGCCTAGACCACTAAACCTATTTAAAAAATTATTTTACCAATGGAAAGCCACATTATGAGCGATTAACATAGGGTACATTTTACAGTAAATTATAAAAAAAAATGAATAAAGGCAAACGTGTAATTGCTAGTTCCCATAGACTCAGAGAAAAGAAACGAATATAATACCAGTTTTCTTTGAGGTTATATTTCTGGAGGTATCTCCTCCGCTTGTCGCTCATTTGTGCCGAAGTATGACGCTCCCGTGATCCACCAAGTCTGATCCACGTACTACATAGATTGAATCTCAATTTTAATAAATCTTACATATACTTTTTGACTTTGTTTTATCAAAAGCGTTAATCTCAGGAACTCTTGTTGCGTTTATCGTGTAGGGTAGTCTATTTATCGATGGTAGCTATAGGCCATGCACTATGCATATACTACTCTGTCAAGAAAGTACCGGGAAAAGGTCAATAATACACAAAATGTTTGTGATTCATCCAAATTTATTTTATCACCTTCAAAGTATTCCTTCAGAAACGACACATTTACGCCAACGAATAATCCAATCATCGAAACATTTTTTAAACGCTGTTTCCGGAATTGAGTTCAGTTCTCGCCGCGAATTCGCCTTTATGTCTTCTACCGACTGAAAACGGGTGCCACGAAGTGGTAATTTGAGTTTAGGAAAATGAAAGAAGTCGCTGGAGCCACATCTGGTGAATGCTCGATGGTAAGTGTTGAGTGTTTGGTCAAAAATTCGTTCACAATGATGGCCTTGTGCTAAGGCGCATTATCGTAGTACAAAATCCAAGAATTTTCTTTCCACAAATCTGGCCTTTTTCGTCGAATTTACTCTCTTAAATACCACATAACGCTCAAATAATAATCTTTATTTACTTTTTGACTTTCCGGCAAGCATTCCGAGTGCAAAACACAGCGATAGTCAAAGAAAACAGTCAACATGACTTTGACTTTTGATCGACTTTGGCGTGGTTTTTTCGGTGAGATTCAGTTGGAAGGCGCCACTCCGAAGCTTGTTGACTAGTTTGCATGTCAAACTCGTCCACTCGACCACGTCTCGTCACCAGTAACAATGCGTTTCATAAATGTTGGCTCAGAATTGACTCGTTCCAGCATGTTCTCAGCGACTCTTATGCGATTGAGTTTTTTGAGAAAATTGAGATCATTTGGGACTAGCCAAGCGGTAACATGTTTCATACCCAAATGATTAGTTAGAATGTACGGATCGACTCGTGAGATACAGAAAGTTTGGCGGCTATCTCAAAGTTGAATAAGGATTTTCAGTCATTATTTCCTTCACTTTTGCGATGTTAACTTCAGTTGCAGACGTTGATGGCCTACCAGAGCGAGGCAAATCATCCATCACATGTCGACCGCTTTTGAACGCTCTGTACCACTCATAAACAAGTGTTTTTGATAAAGTCGATTCACCGTAAGCCTTCTGTAACATTTTCAGTGACTCCAAACACGAAATTCCATTGGCCATGCAAAATTTAGGATGAACTCATTGTTCGATGTTTTTGTCCATTATGAAATTCGCAATTCACTCTAGATATGATATAACTAAAAATGCAACTCAAACTCCGCGCCAAAATGGAAAACAGTTGTGGAAATCTAACAACAAAAAAAAAAACAAAAATTTGAATTTGGAACCATAAACAAATCATCCATTCCCGATACTTTTTTGACTGAATGTACACATGTTCAGTTTTCCTTATCCTATATGTACTCGTATTTATTGTTGTAAAGGAGTTGCAAGGTAACGTTTGCTTCATTCGGTAATGTACCTACATTACAGTTATTTACACAGTGTAACCTCAACACGGCGATGCAATTTTTTATTTGGACCATACTGGTCGTAGGTAAGTAAGTACTTAAGTATAAATATTTCTAAGTAATTATTGGCAAATTTACAATTTTACGGATATTGATAAAAAAATTAAATTTTATTGGTTTGTAGGTAAGTAATCACTCGGAAAAAAAAGAAATGTAAAAATAATGCAATCGTAACTCTTTCAACTTGTACAATTTAATTGTAAGGTAGCTTTTACTTAATGAATTAGTAGAATCACGCTTCTTCATAAAGAATTGTCGTATTTTACTATATTAACTTACTACTTTACTATTAAAAATAAAAAATATAAATATATATATATATATGTATATATTTGAAGTATTATCATTTTCAGATTTTTTACGATATTAATAAAACAATTGAATTTTTAATCTTCATGAATATTTATTAATATTGTAGTATTGTAAACAATTTTTAGCTATGCACAAACGTATTTGATTTGTGAGTAAAGGTTAAGCCCATCAAGTGTATTTTGAAGAAAAAGATTTTTGCGATAGATATAAAATGACGTCAAAACAATGCGATACAACTATAGTTAAACCGCCGTAAGCTTGGCCCTCCTGATGGTTTGGGGGACGCGGGGCGGGGGTGCATTCAACCAATAAGCTAGTGCGTCGCTGTCCGCCGGCAGTGACTGACGTGAAAGCATGGCTGTACGTGTTATTTTTCTTAAGACTGCTACACACGGTATTATTTTGCAACATGGATAATCTGCCGACTCTGCGTTACAAAAAGATTTAAAAACTTGAAGTTCGGCTTACAGAGGTTCTACTGTTAAAGTTCTAATAAATAATATTTATTATTTTACTTAATTTTTAAATTGTATCTGAATATAATTTACGTGATGAAGATAAGGTGATTTTATTAAAATTATTTTACAGTATTAAATTTTACAACTAATCATAAAAACTTACAATACACTGACATTATAATACATGGAAATAAATTCGATTTTTATTACATCGTGTGTAGATTAAATCTCAAACAAATAAATCTGAAGATATCGAGTTAGTACATCGTGTCATGTATAGCCGAGCGCATCACCCGCCCCGCGTCCCGCAAACCATCAGGAGGGCATAGCTTACGGCGGTTTAACTGTAGTGTCACTCTCACAATTTAGTTTACAACTAAAAAAAGCTCTGAAGCCAAAATCCATTACGCCGTTTAGGCCACAGAACACCTAGTGCAAGTTTATTCCACATCAACTCGCCCTCGACATCGAGCGCGTTCGGCTTTGCGATTGGTGAAAATTTCTGTGCGGGCCAACGCGGTCACCGTAACGATCGAGTAGATGAAAAAAAAAATATACATACATACATACATACATTTTCGGAAAATATAATACTAATTCTGGCGCAGTCGGGTAAGAAGATAACCATGGCACAATTATTAATTAACTATTTTTGTTTTTAAAAGACAACTCCCGCACTACACTGTATCCTGTATATTTAGAGTTTGCACCAGGGATTCCCTTTCTAGGGTACACCTGGTTCCCCGACTACTGGTACCTGAGACGGCGTGTGGTTTTAGTCGGTTCGAGTCCGACATTGCCACCGGTAAGTGGTATCCGAGGGGATTTCCGCACAGAAAAAAAGGGGGAATTTACAAACATATATCGAAACGGACACAAAGAACACTCAGACTCAGAACAACAATTTGTAGATCATACAAAGGGTTGTCCCGTGTCGAACCCACAACACTCAGCGCAGTAGTAAGCGGCGAGGTGACCGCTTAAACAACTACGCCATCCGTGCAGTCAACTACGAGCATTAAATATCTATTAAAAAACTTTAACTAAGTACATGTTGCCGGGTAAATTATTATTTAAGAAATTATTTTATTCTAAACACAAAATATCTGCTATTCTTGTCTCCTACAGGATCCATACAGGATCGATACAGGGTGTTTAAGCCCTGTGTAAAAATATACGAGTAAATAAAAGTGAAAATGATCATTATTTTTTATTTCTTTTTAAAGACATAACTAGCAAAAGAAAGGCTTATTAAGTAAGAAACCTATACTAATATATCTGTTTTTTTTTTTTTTTTGTTATTATAATGATGATTGATTGATTGATGATATAAAGAATAGAAAAGAAATATTTCAAGTTTTAATTTTTTTTTTTTTTTAGCTATGATCATTGGTCGAAGACTTGTATACTGTAAACTAAACACTTCATTATGCGAAGTTGGTGTTCTGCTCCCGAAATTTGGTGTGAGTATTAAGTCTACTATTGTTGGTGCCTAATTACAACAGATACAAATCAAATAATAATATCGGCGATGAGATTGCAAAAACGTATACTAGCAATTTACAAAACCGTGTTATAATATTTTCTCAATTTTAACAGGACCTAGAAATATTTTATTTTCTTGATTTTTAGTGATTTTTCTTCTTTTCCAAATGGAACTGCAAACTACTCTTACGCGTTTTTTAATGTTCTTTATGTTGTCTTTAAAAAATAATTTTATTAGCGTTATGTTTATAGCAAGCGATCCGCCTGTGCTTCGCACGGGTGCAGTGTAGATCACATTGGTAGTTTTAGTAGTGTGGAGTAACTAATTATACTATAATTATGTTAGGACTTATTGGATAAGGATAAAAAATGTATTGTTGTTGTATTTATAAGGATAAAAAATATTTAAAAGATAAAAATTGTAACTCTGGGTTATCCTTAGGAGGTAGACATATACCTTCGCGGAGTTTTTTGTAGATCTTTTTTAAATATACAATGCTGTAGTATATTATTTTGGTCTACAAAAACGTGTTTTGAAGACAAATCTTTGAAACTCTCGAATTTTCTCTACTATAATAAGTATGCATGGTGAAAACCGCATTAGAACAACACAAAAAAGCGACTTTAAAAGAAGAAATCATAATAGTATTTATGGTAAATTTATAATAATAGCGTTATAAACACGTACTTTTTTATTTACACATTGTTGATTAAATTTTAAGTGAGTTATATATATATATATACAGGGTTATTGGTTAAGTCGATCTAGATACTTACGGGGTTGCAGTGGCCATTATTGCTAAGATATTTACTTCCATTATAGTCCAGGCACGTTGAATATGGAGAACAAAAAAATGTTATCCAGAAACCTACGTTTTTAAATGGTTAAAAGGGTTAAAGTCAACATAAGGAAAATGTGTTATGTGCCCAAGAAAGTTAGGGGATGATTTTAGGGGTTGAAAAGGGGTGAAAATGGATACATCTCGTGTTTTTTGCAATTTCACGCGAAATTTGATGTCCCACTGAAAAATGTTAAACACAAAAGTTGTAGATCTTGGACAAATCTACAACTTTTGTATGGGTCATTTTTTAATATAACCCCAAAATTTCAGAAAAAAATGCAATAAATAAAAAAAAAAATTGTTTTTTGTTTTTTACTTGTCAATTTCTCAAAAATAAATATTTTTAAACCAAACTTGCTGAAAGTACTCCTTTTTGTGTCCCAAACAACAAAAACAAAATTTTAGATGGAAATATTTAAACCTGTTTGAAAGATTCATTTATTTCGGTCCGAGACACGTTGTTTTCAAAGTTACATTTTACTACCTACAATCATCGTAGAGAGGTCATACAGGGCTCATTTTTTTCGTCTTGACGTCTACTTTTTAATGAAATAATAAAACAATACAGCTTCCATTTAAAAACATGTCTAAAAATTGAAAAATATAAAACAATCATTTTGCAACAACGAATTTTTTGGTTATTGTTAATAATTAGTTTTAATAAAAAAAAAAGCAAAAACTAATAAGACCATTGAATTTTACGGGAAAAAACACGAAGGAACATATGTTTTCCTATTTAAATACATTTTTTATTTTTGTACAATACTGCTATAAACATTGTAATAGCATATTCCGTGTAGTTGAAAGATGTCAGGTAAGTAAGTACATACAATGCGATCGACTTTTACTTTAATAAGAAAAGTTCCTCATTTCTCGCGATGAAATTAATTTATTCAATTGTTGCTCTTCTGCATTGTTTTACTGGATGTGATACAACATCCGCTTTTGCTGGCAAAGGAAAAACAACAAGTTTTAATTCGTTGATTAATGCTCCTGAGTTAAAAGAATTAGCACTGCCCTTTTATCAAAGTAATGCAGATCCCAAAGTCATTGCTCGAAATGGTTGTAAACTGATTGCATCGATTTATCAATCAAAAAAATCTAAAATACCACTGGATGATTTAAGATTTACACAGTTTAAATTATTAACTGCAAAGTCGACTTTTAAATTCGAAAAATTACCCCCTTCTGTTGGAGCAGCAATTCAACACTCGTACAGAGTATACTTTCAACTACAAATGTGGCTTGGACATACATTACAAGCAACGAAATGGAGCTGGAAACAAGTGATTGTAAATAATATAAAACTACTTATGCCACATTATACAGATGACTCACTTATTCCAGATGAGTTACTTAAGATAATTTGTTGCAGTTGTGAGACTGGATGTGAGGGCAATAGATGCGGTTGCAGAAAGCATGAGTTGCGATGCACAGAGTTATGCACAAAATGCCATGGTTCTGAAAGTTGTTCAAACGTTGAAAAAGTTTCAAAAGATTTAAGTGATTTTGATGAAATTTCTGATAATCCTGATGAAATTGAACAACCATTTCACATCTTCAACTCAGAAAATCTTGCTATGGAAAAGTTTCCAGAGGAATTTGATGAAGAAACGATTGAAGATAATGAGGAAGTCATATATTTCGACGAACAATTAATCGATGATGATCAGCCAAACTTACAATTAGCGAAAAGACAAAAATTGGTTTAGTGTGCATAATGTATTCATTATTAAATATGTAATAAATCGCATAATAAATGTATAATATTTATGTATATAAAGTGTAAATGTATGATATTTATCAGTACTTGAGCATATTTCATTAAAAAATCAACTTGATTAAAATTGAGTTTTTCATTATTGTCATTTACCTCCATTATTTTTTTATTATTATTATTAGTAGTAGTATTGTTAACAATCTATTTTGTTGATATAAATTTCAATTATAAATTCGGTGCAAGTTAAATTAGATTCAGAATTCATTTTAAAAAAATCATTCAATTATTTAAAAGCATGTTTTAAATAATTGTATACAAAAGTTAATTATAAGACGATTTATTTATCAAAATATGTAGAAAATAATTGAATAAATTAATTTCATCGCGAGAAATGAGGAACTTTTCTTATTAAAGTAAAAGTCGATCGCATTCTATGTACTTACCTGACATCTTTCAACTACACGGAATATGCTATTACAATGTTTATAGCAGTATTGTACAAAAATAAAAAATGTATTTAAATAGGAAAACATATGTTCCTTCGTGTTTTTTCCCGTACAATTCAATGGTCTTATTAGTTTTTGTTTTTTTTTTTATATTAAAACTAATTATTAACAATAACCAAAAAATTCGTTGTTGCAAAATGATTGTTTTATATTTTTCAATTTTTAGACATGTTTTTAAATGGAAGCTGTATTGTTTTATTCTTTCATTAAAAAGTAGACGTCAAAACGAAAAAAATGAGCCCTGTATGACCTCTCTACGATGATTGTAGGTAGTAAAATGTAACTTTGAAAACAACGTGTCTCGGACCGAAATAAATGAATCTTTCAAACAGGTTTTAATATTTAAATCTAAAATTTTGTTTTTGTTGTTTGGGACACAAAAAGGAGTACTTTCAGCAAGTTTGGTTTAAAAATATTTATTTTTGAGAAATTTACAAGTAAAAAACAAAAAACCAATTTTTTTTTTATTTATTGCATTTTTTTCTGAAATTTTGGGGTTATATTAAAAAATTACCCATACAAAAGTTGTAGATTTTTCCAAGATCTACAACTTTTGTATTTAACATTTTTCAGTGGGACATCAAATTTCGTGTGAAATTGCAAAAAACACGAGATGTATCCATTTTCACCCCTTTTCAACCCCTAAAATCATCCCCTAACTTTCTTGGGCACATAACACATTTTCCTTATGTTGACTTTAACCTTTTTAACCATTTGAAAACGTATGTATCTGGATAACATTTTTCTTTTTTTATCTCTGTAAATGAGTCAATGTGCCTGGACTATTACCAAGATATTGGACTTTTAAGATTTTATAAAAATAAACGAACGAAAAATATTTGGAATAGTACTTACTTTTTATTTTATTTATGTCTACATTTTTTTCTTTTTTTACTGATTTTGTGTCGTTGAAACATTGATTTATAATTTTCATTACCAAACATGTAGATAATAAACTAGGCCAAAGTAGATGGTTGATAATAGTGTTGCGCCATAGGATTAACTGGTTTTATTTTTGAGTAGTTAGTTCGTAAACAATCGGGTATGGAATTTTGAGGACAGCGCCATCTAGTATGAGGTAACGCACAACGAACAGTACACGTTAAAATGATGATTTAAATTACCGATGCTGCGCCATCTAGTGTCGAACATGTGGCGGATTTACATATTTGCCGCCTGTAGGCTATTAAATTTATGCCGCCATTTGTGGAAACCCACGTCGAGCCGTCGCCCCACCGAGATTAGCGGCGGGGCGGTGTATCGGCCCTGAACCGACTAAAACTATACAGTGTGCCACTCTGTGCCTGAAATAGGAGGGATCTAAGCACAGCTGTTATTAAGCCTTTTTCAATATCCTTTTGTTACGTGGAAACCCCTTCGGGCCGTCATGTCCGTTATGATGTTCCACTCATCACGGATGTGGAGTAAGGGCCCCTGTTCTACTGAATCGTTCCAAGAACACCGCCCCCGTCCAGACAGGATTCCTGCCCGAGTTCTAGCCCTAGCTCTCGAGCCTTTGTCAAATCCCCTTAGAGAGTTGGGAGGTCTTCGTCGCTAGCTTGGCGTCGGGACGTCTCCATGGGTGCATGTAGAGCGGAAAGCTGGTCTTGTTAACGATTCCGAGACAGCCTGCCAATTCGGCCGCAACCTACAGGTCCATGGTGTTACGACGAAGGCGTTTGACATTGGACGCTCCATAATGGCGTTGGCACTAAGCCTTGATATCGTCAACGCGTTCGTCACCCTACCCTGGCAGGCGATAAGGCCGGACCTTGAATTTCATGAGCCGCTCTACCTACAGGCCGTCATTGGGTCCTATCTACGCGACAGGACGGTGAAGTTGGAATGGGGAAATGAGGAATGGGGTGGAAAATCGGAGAGAGGTGTGTTATTTTATTAAAAAGACAACTTCCGCCTACTAAGAATATATCCTGTGTCGCGGTGAACTTTACAAACATATATGAAATGGGCACAAAGAACACCTAGACTCAGAACAACAATTTGTGAATCACACAAAGTGTTGTCCCATGTGGGGATTGACTGAGTGATAAGACGAAGGCCGTCTTATTTTATGGGCCCGCCCGTCATGATCACACAGTGTCTCCGGAGGCGACGTGAGCGTTGGCCGGAATACTCCCGTGGGATTTAGAGGCGAAAGTGCTCTCCGAAGTATGCGCCTTGGAGGCACTCCAGCTTGTCATCGTCGAGTGAGTAGCATCAGCACGGACCTTTCCTTCCGACTGACGCAGGTCCTTTCCGGGCACGATTGCTTCGAGAAGTACCTGCACTCGGTCACTTAGAGCACTTAGAGTAACCCTGTATAAGACTTACAAACTTTTTCCTTTTGTTTTAGGTAACATATGTGTACCATAGAGATACGAGTATAAGCAAAAAGAGAACACGGGGTACAGCTGCCTGTATATAGAAGTGATACAGGCAACGAGAGAGATGGATGCCCGATAGTTCCCTCTGTCTCTGCTTAGCTGAGCTGCGGATATTATAAATTTCCCCAGCCAACCACAGAGCTCAACTAGAAAGAGATAGAGGGAACTATCTATTTTCCATATCTCTCTTTGCTTATATTGCAAGATTGTGGCTCTTGTTCACTCTATTCTTATATCTCTATAATGTGTACAGAGAAGTTGGTTTCTAGTGACACGATATTTATTTGTTTTGTTTGTTTCAGACTTCATACAAAAGTTACTTAGATTGCATAGGATTCAAGGACCTAAGGTCGACTTTAGTAAATGGAACTAACTCAGACAACGATATCCAGAAGTAAGTATCAGAAAATATGGTATTCAACCAATTTCAACCATGATTGCAACTGACTACTTAAATGGCCACTGTTTGGATACTAAACCCGTGGTATCCGATCGGTCGAGCCTTATCTTACGGTTTAAATATACAGGGTTAAACTTCTTCGAAACATGTGCTTTAACTTAAATTGTATTTTTTTTATGTTAGAGGGGGCAGACGAGTAGACGGAGTTACCTGATGGAGAGTGACCATCGCCGCCCATGAACGTCTGCAACTCAGGAGTCACAAACGCGTTGCCGACCTTTTAGGAAGGAGTACGATCCGTGTGGTGACGGATTAAGAATACAGTGTCACCACCCCTATACAACTCCGACTTGCTTATCGTTTTCCGGACACCGGGTAAGAAAAGATCTGGGAAGAAAAAAGTAACTGAAATTGATAACTTCGTAGTGTTTTATGTAACGGACTGCTATTCCAAAGGTCGCGGGTTCAATTTCCGCTTAAGTCAAACATTTGTGTGCATGAACATTTAATGTTTGATTTGGTCTGGGTTTTTCTATGTATAATATGTAGGTATTTACAAAAAAAAATGTATTTATATCAGTATATACCCATAGTATTAGCTCTGCTTAGTTAGCTCGGCTAGGTGGCGTTGTGTAAATGTGTAAAAAAAACTTTCCCCCACTACGTCTCCTAATGTTCAAGTTGCTTGCCGACAATTATACGAGTACTTATGAATAAAAGGTAAAAAAAACGCGTTTTGTTGTAAATAACAATAAAAACTGAAAAATAAATACCTGCTTTATGAGAATTTAATATATTTTTTTCAGTTTTTGTGGTAAAACTCCGAAAATATGCTCCAAGACAATGTTGGCGGATGCGCCTGCTTGTCCTCCGTATATCAACTTTGTCAATCATATGACTAACACCATCGAAAAAGTCCACGACTATTTCTGCTTTGATGGCGGTGCTACATTAAAAAGTAAGTTTAAAAAGGCTTACTTTTACATATTATAAACGTTCAAATGAGTTTGTTTGTTTGTTATGCTTTCACGCTTAAACCACTAAAAAAAATATTTTAAATGAATTTAATCATTCTTTCACCAATGGAAAGCTACATTATCAGCGAGTAACATATGCTACTTTTACCGTGATAACCTACATACTCGCGTTCCGAGCCGCGCGTAAAAGCTAGTCTACACTAATATTATAAAGAGGAAAGATTTGATTGTTTGTTTGTATTGAATAGGCTCCGAAACTACTGGACCGATTTGAAAAATTCATTCTCGTCCTATAGTATAGTCCGTGTGGTAACGGATTGAGAATACAGAGGGTCACCACCCCTATTCATCCCGTGGGTGGCGTAAGAGCCGACTAAGGGAAAAAACTACGCACAATAAGAGAGAGAGAAGAAAAACTTGACACAAACCCTATACCGACCCGTCTGGCGAGCGTGGCATAGTAGGCCAAAACCTTCTCTGTAAGGAAAAGCTTATGCCCAGCAGTGGACTGTTAAAGGCTGTTGATGTTGATAGTTCTATCATAACAATAGTATAATTAATTACTCGCCATTGACACCACATTAGTAGTATTAGTAGTATCTACATTGCACCCGTGCGAAGGCGGGGGCGGCGGGCTAATATACTATAAACCAATTTTATTACTAAAACTTACCTTCTAATACATCAAATGTTTGGAAGGAATACTTGAACACGAAAACGTGCAAGTATTACATTAACTAATAAAATCTAAACTATAATATTATATCCATAGTAATGCACAAGCTTGTCTGTCTACCTGTCTTTCTATCTGTCTGTATTAACATAAATCGGTTCAGCGGTTTAAGTGTGAAGAGGTAACCCTCTTTACGCTTAAACCGCTGAACCGATTTAGATGAAATTTGGTATAGAGATAGTCCGACTCCAGGAAAAGAACATAGTGCAGTTTTTATCAGAGGAATCATCCTTTAAAGGTGTGAAAAGGGGGGTGGAAGTTTTTATAGGGAATCAATGAACCGATTTGGATGGAATTTGGTATACTTTGATTCTTGAGACTAGAAATAGGCTACTTTTTACCGCGATAACCGACATTTACGCTGGCGGAGCCGCAGGCAATAGCTTTACAATCGATCCTCCCTACAAAAAAAAAACATTTAGAACACTTTAGATTTAATCATCTGTGGATATACGTGCAATTCGATATACAAATAAATAAATACCACTGACTTTTCAGTCTATCTGAAAGAAGGTGGTCCAAACTGCATCAAGGATAAGGAAAATGAGACCTCAATCTGCATGGCCTCAAACAACAAGCAGGATCCAAGCTCGAATTATCATCAGGTAGAAAATGAAAGATCTTAGTCAACTTATAAGTAAAATAAATTTCTTCTTTTTTGTGGCTACCGATGCCCAATGTCAGTTTGTAATTCAAGAGTCACAAGTCCGTTGCCATCTTTTTGAGCCGCTTCTTAAAATCAAGGGAAGGAGAGAGTTAGACTCTGATAAACTACCACTTCTACACTACTACAGCAACTCGCTAACATGCCCCGCGACCCCAGAATCGTGTACGCTTAACGATTTGTACCAAGCAAGGCCAAACGCCTTTTGCGTCGCCGAGCACTGTGCCAAAACCGTGTAAAGTGTTTCCATCGTCAAGATAAGTAAGTACTACTGTCCGATAACTAACCGAGTGATTGAAATCGATTAAAAACAACGCAAAAATTACTTTACACCAGTTTCACATGGTATGACTCCAGTACAACCAGTCTATTTATGCCGAAGTATGGCTCTCCAATGAAAAGGAAGATAAGGAAAGACAGATTCGAATAAGAGAGGGATATTGCTAGAAATTTTATTACCATGAAAATATCCCACTTATTACTAAAGTACCCTATTTGATTCCCCTGTAATGTAAGTAAGACTAAACTAAATATGGCAAAATATGTGTACTGGGCCTACCCGGGGAAATTGGCATGATTGTATAAAACACTGTGTCTCATATATAAGGTACACCAGTATGAGTACTCTAGTTATACCTAGTATACCGATATCTAGTATCAAGTATATAATAATAGTCATTTTTTTTTTTTCTCAGGTAATTTTTTCATTAAAAGATGTGAACTGCGTAATACAGAAGCTGAAGACTTGCAATAAGCCGGAACTAACGAAGATATTTGAGACAGTCGAAGGGATCACCCATCATAGTCTCTTCAATCCAGTAAGTGATTCTCAATTCTATTTTCAAGGCAAGTCAGTTATCAGAACTGTGGAAAAGCTTCAAAGCTCTTTCACGAAGTACTGCTAAGTAAGTTTTTTAATTGATATTTATGACAAAACAGATTCGTAGTAGAAACAGCCTGGCGGTCGCATTTTTTTAGCTTGGTATGTATTTATCCATGTAACGGAATCTTTAAACGTGATTTTAACCCACTCCAAAACTTCAGATTGAATTGAAATTTCGCACACTTTTCAAGGACCGATGGCAGGACAATAATTTAATAAATTTCTCTGATTATCCTGTTCACTGTATGCACAGGATTAACGGCTTTTCCATATCTAATAATACGGTAGTGTCTTGTGCCACGTTCTAAGGCATCTACGTATATTGTGACTTACTAACTTGTTACTGTTTTAGTCTTTGAAGAGAAAATAGTCATCATTTATGACTAAAAAAGTAAAAAATAAATTATAGTTTAAAAAAAAACTAAACAATCACGCTTTTGTACAAAGCGAACTAAAAATTAGAAAATAATTTTCTATGAGTTCAAAAAGGGATGGGGTGCATTTCAAAATATTTTATAATATAATCTCTTTACTTTTCAATAAAATATTTACATCATAACATCTAGCACCCCACCGCACGCAAAGAGAAGGAAAAAGAGAGGGGAAACATATCTAAACCAACAAAACTAAACCAACCGGTGTGGCGAGTGTGGTATAGTAGGCCAAAACCTCCTTTCTAAAAAGAGGCCTATATCCAGTAGTTGACTTTTAAAGGTTGTTAATGATGATGATTATGCGGTCGACTGTACTATTATGTCTCCAAGTACCAATACTCATTTGTTTTTACCTTAACAGGTGACGACGCCGACGGTGAACAACCCTAACGCAGCGAATGGAATTACATTAACGTCAGGAATCGTATTAGTTACGAGTACATTAATCACATTACTCACATGAATTAACTATTTGAATAAATTATTATATTTCCTCGACATTCATAAATAAATGGATTCTGCAGATGGAATCACAGAAATGTTTTTTACTGATTTCATATTATGTATGCCAGAACACGTAATTTTGGTGGTCATTTAAAAAAGTTGTGGTCATATCTGTGGGTCGTTTTGTACCACATGGATATTGTGAATAACAAAAAAGCACATTTTAAAGCTGTAAAATAATAATAATAATTTCGGACTTCTGACACAACGCCATCTAGTTTCAAACTAAGTGGAGCCTGTACTATGAAAGTTAGATTTACTGAACTGATTTACCTGATTTACCTATTTACTTTTTTTTTGTAAAACATACATATTATACATAAAAACCCGAGTGTTGATAGATTTAGAATACTGAGTGTCACCACCCCTATTCACCCCGTGGGTGTCGTAAGAGCCGACTAAGGGAGCAAACTACCCAGCACTTCAGCACTGCAAAGAGAAGTAAAACTTGACAAAAACCCTTTTTCTTTTTCTTTTTACTTGTGGAAACCCCCTCGGGCCCTCACCCCACCGAGGTTTCCGGTAGGGTGGAGTGTCGGAATCGGACCAACCACAACCACACGGTGTGCCACTCTGCGCCTTTCATAGGAAGGATCCAGGAACTACTGCTATTAAGACATCCGGACCCCTCCTAGCGCCTGCCCGTAACGGCATGGGCACCACCTTCGGGTACATTCTCTATTTAGGCGACGTCCGGCACACGCGGACGTTGCTATTTCACTACTGGCCCTTATGACGTTTGGAGGGGAAAACCCATCCCGTCCACCCGTGGCCACAGTGAGGGCGGCATGAGGCGCTGCGCTCCTTCCGCGATGTGATGTCTTCGCGGTAAAAAAAACTATCACTACTGACCATGGAGCGTATGACGGCCGGTAGCGAGAGATCTCCCCCGATGACTGCAGCGAAGACCCGATGATGCGACGCCCAAGCCAGGCAAATTGCCAGCGTGTGCTGAGCCGAGTCCTCGCTGCAATCTCAGTGGTGACAGGCAGGAATCAATTCCCTCCTAGCGACCGAGTGCAAGTACTTCCCAAAGCAGCCGTGCCCCGAAAGGACCTGCATCAGTCGGAAGGAAAAGGTCCCGTGCTGCCGCCCTGCCCATTCAACGATGACCGGCTGGAGCGCCTCCACGGCGGCAAAACCAGCATGTGGAGCCTCCAGCCGGGATGACCAACAAGCCATCGTGACTCAACGAGCGGCCTCGCGCCACTCGCGTAATTCTTCGGGCGAGGGCCGACTGCCGCTCACCGCCCGGAACTCAGTCGTCCGCCGATATATTTCGGCGAGCACTTCCACCTGTAAATCCCACGGTGGAGTTCCGGCCTCTGACGTCCTCAGAGGGTATTGGCGGTATAAGCGCGTCCTATGTAGGGCGCGCTTTTGCGCGCCCTACATAGGCGCGCTTATACCGCCTACCAAGTAAAAACTTGGTACAGTGCCAACCAACCATCGGACAACCCCCGTGTATGGCCGTCTCGTTGCGACACTGGGTCCACTCATATTAGGCAAAAGTCGCCTAAGGGCAGCGCCGACCAGCTTTAGAGCAAGCTGTCGGAAGTGCTCATCGAAGAACCACCTCCCGTCGAGGATCAAGCCCAGATCCTTCATCTGGGCTTGAACCGGTACGAGGACCGAGTTAACAACGGGGCACATGAAATCCATGGCTAATTCGTCTTATCCAGGGAAACCCTTAAGCCCAGCGCCTCAATGCGCCCGACCACCAGAGAGACTCCCCAGGTGGCCAGGCTTGCCGCCTCTTGAAAGTTCGCCCCCGAGCTGTGACCCGGGCAGTGACAAATTACACCCAGCCCTGGGCGAAAATCAGCTCGAAGGGCCCAGTCTTACCCTATGTTCCATAGGAGGGGTTTAAGAACAGACCTGCATGTACAGTACATGAATCTGCCACCAGCCGCCTCAGGTACTCTGGCACCCCATGATAGTTGAGAGCTTCCCTGATGCAGCTGAATGGCAGACTATTGATTGCGTTGGCAATGGCCAATGACACCGTCAACAGCACGCCGCCACATTTCACCGCCTCTTCGGTCATGGCCCTCAGGCGCAACACAGCGCCGACCGTCAAACGCCCCGCTCGTAAACCTACCTGGGCGTACGACAGATCAGGGCCCACCTTGCAAAGGTGCCGGACGATGCGGGCTGAGAGAACCCTCTCAAACAATTTACCCGCCTCGTCACGTCCAGCAACGCGATAGGTCTGTAGGCCACGACCGAAATAGCAGGCCATCCTGGCTTTCTCAATAGGACCAGCTTCCCGCTCTTCCAGCACTCAGGGAAACGTCCTGACTCCAAGTTAGCGTCAAACACCTCCCTGAGGCGATCTGCCATGTGGTTGAAGGCTACGCGAGCACTCGGGCCGATATCCTGTCTGGCCCAGTTGCGGTCTTCTTGGAACGGATCGTCGTCGGGGGTGTGTGCTCCGCCCGTTGTGGGGATAGGCCCTCCACCAGTTCCTGCAGAAAGCTGGGCTGGAGCTGGGCAGTGGCGGAAACAGCATAAAAATTCAGTATTGCACTGTTCTTACAGTATATTGCACGTCTACTCAAATATGACCTTTTTCAAATAACGTCTTACACAAGTACAAATCGTTACTAAGTACAAGTCAAATATCCGTGTTTCAAATTTATTCCACTTTTACAAACTCTCATCTAAAAATTAAAACGATTTTCAGCAAGTTATAAGCTTACTAAGCTAATTTCAATAATAATAATAGTCTTTATTTTATTCTTTCACACAGTATACATTACTCAAAAAAGAAAAAAGAGAAGCGATACAAAATAAAAATTTTACAGTTTTATTCAGCAAATATGTGTGGGAGACTGGTATCTGTACTAGGAGACCTGTATGACAGATTACCAGACTCTCCAGACTCTGGATAGGTGAAGTGCTGTTTAATGGAGGTATATTGTTTATCACCAAGAACAGGTTGAGAGAGGGTAAGGATTAGAGTAGGGTGACTTGGTGTGAATTTGTGTGGACTAGTGTGGTGTGAGTGTGCCGTGATTTGGTGAGTGATGTGATGTGAATGGTTGGTAAGGTGTTGTGTGTGGTGGGTGAAATGGATTAAAGTGCACTGAATGATCTAAGAGGGGACAGTGAGTAGTTTTTCAGTTTCTTCATATGTTAGAGTTTTTAGTGACTGAGGGATAAGCCGTTTACAATGGAGCCTTGTGAGTGGATATATCGACACAAGTTTGTTCAACTTGTTTTAGAGATAACCCCCCAGAAAGCCAAAGAATTTACGGGAAAAGGCTGTAAACCTTCGATTCTCTAACCTGCAAACAAACATTATGTTTGAGGCGTTATTCTGTGAGTGCGGGGTCATAGACGAGACTCGAATGCTGTTTAAGTGTGATGTGGAGCACAAATAGTTGGCGCACCGTTAAGACATCGGATAGCTGGAAAAGGTCTGTTGTGGGAAAGGGAAAAGGTAAGAAGTGACTCACCTTCAGTACGGCTCTTTGTGCTCTTTCTACCTTCAATAAGCGAGTCTTGCAGGTGCCACCCCATACAGTGATGCAGTATGTTAAGATCACAAGGACAAGTAGACCATTTTCAAAATATTTTTATCTGCGATGTGTCTTTGTGAGTTTTGTAGACCCAAGCAAGCTTCTCACTTGTTCTTCTAACATTAAACACCTTTTTTTTATACTTTGATTTTTTGAGTTACACACCAAATAGATTGAAGAACGTCACATACATCTGTATGTGTAAATATTTCTGGGAACGCGCACAGCATGCTATAAAAGTGCACATCTAGTGCTTAAATTTATTTTTTAATTTCTATTATTTTAACATTTATACTCAAATTACGTACATCTAAGAGTAAATTAATCAAAGAGGTAGAAACATTATTATATCATGTCTCATATGCTGAATATAAGCAACAAACACTCAAAATACAAAATTTATTTTTTGTTTTTCTGAATACATTGCTAATATTATCAGATTACTGGATTTAGTACCGCATTGTGTATATTCTGTGATATCATCTCATATGTTGACCCTTACTCGTTAGTAACTGATAGCTCGGCTTACATAAAAGGTTAACTTAAACACGCCCGTGCATCGCCGACTGTACAATGGTGTCGCTACAACCCTAATAATACTAAATACTCTCTTGGTCTGTATTCTTATTACAGAAGAAAAAAAAAAGGACGGAAAGGATACCCAAAAATCTTTCACGTACCTATATATAAGCTACCTGTAGCTTCGTTCGACTTTCGACGACGAAAAATGATTTTTATCCCTAAAGAAAAGTTATTCATTCTGCATATACCCTATACCCTGTTGCTGTTGCTGTTCTGTTATACTTAACAACGAGTTTGCAGTTTTATTATACATAGAAAACACACAAACTCCGAAACCAATATTTGCAGATCATACAAACATTTGGTCCGACCCGGGAATCTTACCCGGAACCTCAACACACAGTCGTATACGCTACCACTGCATCACGGAGGCAGTCAATAATGATGATTATACATAAATGATCAAGGAATATACTTATTATTATTAAGCACGCAGAGACCACATACATGTTATAGAATGTTCGAAAACGTGTATAACTTTACATACTGCTTAGGGTGTAAGATTGAAAAGCTTTTGACTTAGTACCATAAGACAAGTGCAGAAGATAATGGTTGTGTTGAAAAAACAAACTTCACTGCCATCTAACGACGACACACGGAACTACTAGGCATACATCACAAAATAAAAATTCTCGCGTTGATTAGTATTTTATATATAAATTCCTAACAGCAACCTAACCCGCCGGTATGTCCTAACCTCACCCAGTCAGAGAATTCTTCCTTCCTGTCGAAGGGACATAACACCCGTTCTTCCATGGTTTAAGTGAGACAAGATATGGAAGGATAACGGAAAGTGAGTATTAGATATAAATTTACTTGTATATTGTCATGGCCTTCTAATATATATTAATAT